TGCGTTTGAATAGGACTCTGGTAACTCTTTCTCTTTCAGACCAAAATAAATAACAACACAGCACGTGCGTATCAACAAACATGTGTATCGAATCGTCACAGCAGTATCAAACAATTCGATATTAAGTCAAATAGTGTTGCATCACTGGTAGATGGTAATGCTGTGCATGTGGAACGGTCAGTCCCGATGACTCAGCAGAGCTGTTTTTCTGTCCTTACAGAATTAAAGTTGCACTGTTACACCAAAGTCCAGGCTTCTGTCGTCACGTGTGTTACATTTATCATATCCGCTGAACATGTGATTTAGAGTAAAGAGCAACAGAGTCTGTATATGTTTCCTTAATTTGATCTTCTTTTGCTATAGACAGAAAATGTGTGTTTTTATGTGTATTTACTTTATTTGAACAGTTAAAGTAATTTTACTTGACACTTCCTTTCCTTTGTTCTAATGCAGAGCGACAAGATCCAATGACAGAATGAGATTCACATGTGACCAGTGTGGAAAGGTGTGGCCAAATGCTTCCGGACTGAAAAGGCACTACAGAAGCCACACAGGAGAAAGACCATACAGCTGTGAACAGTGTGGGAAGGGCTTTATACACTCTAGTCATCTTCATCAACATATGAGAACTCACACAGGAGAGAGACCATACAGCTGTGATGTGTGTGGGAAGGAATTTATACACTCCAGCGTCCTCCATCAGCATATGAGAATACACACAGGAGAGAGGCCATACAAGTGTGACCAGTGTGGGAAGGAATTTCTACACTCTGGTAATCTCCATCGACATATGAGAATCCACACAGGAGAGAAAACACACAGATGTGATGTTTGTGAGAAGACATTTTCACAGTCAAGCCACCTTGTATCACATAAGAGAACTCACACAGGAGAGAAACCATACACGTGTGACCAGTGTGGGACGGAATTTGGACGATCTGGTCATCTTCGTCGACATATGAGAATCCACACAGGAGAAAAACCATTTGAATGTGACCAGTGCGGGGCAGAATTTGGACAATCTGGTGACCTTCATAAACATATGAAAATCCACACCGGGGAAAAATCATACAAATGTGATGTTTGTGAAAAGACATTTTCACAGTCAAGCCACCTTGTATCACATAAGAGAACTCACACAGGAGAGAAACCATTTAAATGTGACCAGTGTGGGAAAACTTTCTTTCAATCATCCAATCTCAATAGACACATGAGAACTAACTGCTGGCTGATACTATATGAGTGTGACCAGTGTGAAAAGGCTTTTAAAACATCCCAGCAACTCTCCAGTCACTACAGAATGCACACAGGAGACGAACAAGATGACTGAAGAAAGAAGGGAAGGCTTTCAGGTCTGTGAGGAACTTGGGGTGTAATGGTACAAAAATCACAGTTTGGTACATACCTCACTTTTGAGGTCACGGTTCGGTTCATTTTCAGTTCAGTTTGGGAACAAAATGCAAAACCATTTGCTTGTTGTTTATTTATGTTTTTATTAAACCAGCAATTTGTTTTAACATTATATAGACTGGAAAATAAAATAAATGCTAAGTGCTACTTGGTAAGACTAATAAGTTAAATAAAATATTCTCAAATAAGCAACAAATGTATGAAATATTATAATAAATACGTTACTTATAAACAGTAAACAAAACTTTTAAAAAAGTGAAGTGCAGCACTAACAGTTCCAGCATGAACTTTTACTCAATCTTCATATTTTTGGCCAGAAGAAACAACTTGTTCATATGCAGATTCAATTGTTCCAGAACTATAAAGCACTGTGGGAAGCACTGCATCATGTGTTCCATGTGAATATTAAAGAGCCTCCATGTGATCAAACAAATTGATCACAAATGCACAGCCCCAACGTCCCGTAGCGAAACGGTTCAGCACAAAGACATGTACAGTTACACCCCTGTGAGGAACCGTCTGAAACATGTCCAAATCTTCTGGACTGAAGAGAAAAGCTGCAGCTGTGACCAGTGTGGAAGGACTTTGAGAAAACCTGCTCATCTGAAGCTGCACCCTCTTGAACACATGAGGAGAAAGAGCTGCTGAGGCTGGATCAAGTGAGCCTAAAGTCAAAAAGCTGCAGATCAGGCTTCAGAGAGTCGGGACTTTGGAGTTGAGCTCTGTGTAGTGTCAGAAATTAAAAGCTTGACATGTTTGTCCTTCTTATTCTTCATTGTTTTGTTTTTAATTTTGAGCTTTTAGTCCTGCTTCACTGCAGTTCCCCAACCAGAGACAAACTTGAAATCGCACTTAGTCTTTTTATTCTGTCTTGACTCTTGTTAGCATCTCACAACAGGTGTTTATTCTTTTTCATGGCTGCTGTGATGAAAAAAGTTAAATAAATATTAGAATTAGAATTGTTCATGTTTGTCTTGTCTTATGTCTGACATCTGCATCAAGGAACTTTAGAGATGAAACGCATAAACACACACGAAGGGCTGAGAAACTGAGCTTTTTTTAACGTGAACGGGTAAATGTTTTTGAGAAGGTTTGAAGCTCCTCTGAATGACCCATGTACATTTAATATACAGTTTGCAATGCCCTCAATGCAGAAATCAACCAAAAAGCACTTCATCGCTTGCACTTAGCCAGGGAGTGAACAGGGAGCAAAAAGCGCAATCACATTATCCCAAATCCTTGCGTCGTTGCACTAGCTTCCTGTTCATTTTAGACTAGATTTTATTGTTCGTTTTTAAAGCTTTGAAAGGACTCGCTCCACAGTACATCTCGGAACTCCTCCAGATTTACTCTCCCCGCGTGTTCTGATGTCCGAGGGCCAGTTCCAGTTCGTGGGGCCTAAAACGAGACTTAAAACTTTGACAGGACCTCCTCTGTGACCAGCCCCAAACTCTGGAACGCTCTTAAACTCTGGAACAGTGTAGTTATAAAATTTCGGAGGTGCACGTAGGTCGACGCAGACGCACTGCATTGTGATGTGTACGATTTGACGCACAACCATAAATTGGACTTAAGAACGAAGCCTTTCCATTTGTGTCCCCTGGAGGCTGCTGGATGATGCTGCATGCTCTTCCTCTCCTCAAACTGCCCTGACAAAGATCGATGTCTCTGTTTCTCTCTCAGAATGATGAGTATTTTAACTCTGTGATTAACAATTTAAAACCTATCTCTGAATCTTCTGAATGGGAAACAGGTTTAATATAACAAAACGCAGAAACCATGACGGTGCAGTTGGGAGCGTCATTTGCCCAACTTTTTGAAAATGTTTTGAAAATCTTTCTGAACCTAATATAAATTTGTTACACTTGCCAAAATAAACTTCATGAGAAATTTTATTGATGTTTACTGGATTCACCAAGCCTCTGAAGTTTAGTGCCTTTGGAAGCCTTAAATCTGAGCTGAAAAATTAGTTTTCTTTAATAACATCCTTATCCTTTGTGGAAACTTGGGTTTACTAAACCCTGATCCGTACCTGTTATTGAGATGCTCTGGTGACACACTCACTTACTCCACTTTTTCATACAGTCTATGATCATGTCATGATTAACAATTTATATTTCCCAATATCTCTGCTCACCTGACTGTGATGCTTCCTGCGTAGGAGTGTTCAGAGAAGAATCCAAAAAATAAGCTCTGATAGTATATTATTATTTATTACAAAAAACAGTATAAGCCTAATTACAGACAGAAAGGTCCTGGAGCTCCGAGCCAATATGAGACACCTTTCTAAGTCAGATATTCTTAGGTTTTATAGTTTCTATAAGCCATCCCCTTTCACAACCTGATCGCTCATTGTCCAAGGTTTTGAACATTTTCCAGATGTTACTTATAAGTTTAACTTACAGTAGCCACACAGTTGTTAGAATGTGGACTCCTGAACTCCACGGGGGCTATGAGGCTCACAGGCCTCGAATGGAGAATATCAGACACCACAACCACTACAGAAAGAATAAACTTTATGTGTCTCATTTCATCTTTGGCCTTTGTGGATTTTAAATAATTATGAAAAAACACTCAAAATCTTGACAAAATGGTCATATCTTAGAAAGTTTGGAAGATAGAAATATAAAATTGGTAGCAACATTTATATTCAACTTTCATTGACACCATGGCTGGATTATGGATTATGGATTTTTTATTTTATTTTTTAAACACTCTGTTTATTGTTTTTTGACAGCCAATACACAGTGCCAGTCCATAAAATAAGACATCAGACATGTCAAAAAGATTAATCAGCCTTTCAAGTAAGGTATACAAAAATATACATGTCATTATATTTGTCAATAACATTTTAGGACCCTAATAGATGATTAATATTGTATGTTGGATGATAGAAAAACAGAAAAAAAAACAGAAATAAAAGCAACTGAACATTCACACAGACAAAAAGTAATAATATTTCACCAAAATGTATAAGTTGAAAAGGTGGATATTACAAAGACCGTCATATAGCTCAGACTTAAATAGATACCTTCTTTAAATAAGCTAATAAAAGGCGACCATATCCTGTTAAATTTATCTTCCGGACCCTGCAAAGAGAATCTAATTTTCTCTAGATCCAAATGCATCATGACATCTCTGAACCAGTTCACATGTGAGGAAGGCTCTGCCTGTTTAGATTATGGATTATTTTTAAAGTTATTTGAGAAAAACAGATTTTTCTGCCAGAGCCTTATGGACACTGTTAGGATGGAACTTAAGAGCCTTGGTGAACCCAGTAGATATTATTCAATTGAGCAAATACTCCACAGAAGATTTTCTTTTAATTGGTATTGTCACATTTTAAAATTAGGTACAAGCTGAATTTCTGACTTTGGGGCAAATGATGCTCCCTGCTGTGCAGCCCTCAACCACAGACTGAAGTAAACTGTACTTGCATTGCTGAAAATTTAATTAGTCCATGTTTTTGTTGCAGCTCCCTCAGCCTCCTCCCACATAAACCTTTATTACTTCATCAGCCAGTCCAAACAAAATCCAAACTGAACTCCGGCGCACCTCCTCTCCTCTCTCCTCTTCTGTCCAGTTTCAACATGGACTCCACCGCCTCCGGACCCAAGCCCAGGAAGGAGAGAAGCCGGAGCGACCGAAACGGGAGCTCCAGGTCAGGCAGGCTCCCGAAGACGTCCCCCGAGAGGAGAGAGGGATCGCGGAGGAGAGAGGAGGAGGAGGAGGTGAAGGAGGTGAAGAGGACTACAGTGGTGGACATAGACAGCGTGAGGAGAGACGAGGACAACTCTGGAGTTTTGGAGGTCGCAGCCGGACAAGAAGACGGTGAGTTATACTGACTTATTGTGAATATTTAACCTTATTTTACACAAAGCTGACTAATGTGAGATTTAAGTTTTTATATTAATTCATTTATTTTGAACATATATAACGTATAACAATAAAAAAGCACACTAGATTAAATTAAAGCCTCCTTATGAATACATTCAAATTGAACATTATAGATGTGCATTAATAAAAAATGACATTTGCACATAAAAACATCTGATTCAAACATGGATTAAAACACAATGAAACATCCACAATACATGCATCAACAATTTCGGACTTTTGGTCATCGCGCAATGCATGCTGGGAAGGATCCTCTAAAAAAGTGAGCATCAAACCGTGGGATGTGTCTATTGACAAAGTCGATCTTTTCTAGTCTTTTGAACCATATCACTTTTGTTTCTGGTTCTGATATTGTCATATTATGGGATTCGGACTTTGTAATTGTGTGGTTGTTGGATCCTAGCAGTGGAAAACAGCTCGAGAAATGGGCTTTGGAAGTTTGTGAACTCCATAACTTCAAAAGGGAATCAGATGTGTGTGATGCAAACCTCCGTTCAAACTGTTTCTCTTCCCAACAGAACGGAAAAATAGTGAAAGGTGAAGGCGATGGGCAGGATTGATCCACAGGAAGGACCAAAAAGGAAACATTTGGCTGCCTAAATCATCCTGAGTTTGCAGCGAACATTTTATATGTGGAGCGACAACAAAGCAAAATCCTGATCCCTCACTCAACCTCGGTTACGAATTTAAAATTCAACGCCAAAGTGAAAGGCTCCAGCTGTTCACCAAGAAACACCTTCCACTGCAAAGAGACCAAGACGTGATGTTTCTGTAAAACCACAAGAACAAGAAAGTGCAGCTCAGTCTGTTTGTCTTCTGCTCCTCTCCATTAACAAACGAGATTTTGCTTTGTCGGTGCTCCACATACAAAATGTTCTCTGCAAACTCGGGATGATTTCTTAGACAGTCAAATGTTTCCTTTTTTTTCTTCCTGTGGATCAGTCCTGCCCATCACCTTCACCTTTCACTATTTTTCAATTTCGTTGGGAAGAGAAACAGTTTGAACAGAGGTTTGCAGTCAAACACATCTGATTCACTTTTGCAGTTATGGAGTTCGCAAACTTCCGAAGCCCATTTCTCGAGCTGTTTTCCAACAACCACACAATTACAATGTCCGAATCCCAAAACTAAAACATGACAATATCAGAACCAGAAACAAAAGTGATATGGTTCAAAAGACTTGAAAAGATCAACTTTGAAAATAGACACATCCCACTGGGAAAACAAACATGGAGGTTTGATTGCTCACTTTTTCGGAAAATCTTTCCAAGTATGAATGAAAATGAACATCATGAAATATCAAACATCTCCTCAAAATTTTTTAAACAACATTTCTGACTCCACCCTCAGGCTTGGGGAGTCTGGTAGCTCAAAGACGCAGGAGTGGCTGGGGGGATTTTCCATATTCACCCCACTCCCCTCGATGTATTATTCCAGTGTCAGTGTTGTTGTGCGTGCAGGTGTGAAGCAGAGGAGTCTAGGAGCGCTGGAGTGGCTGCTCATGGTTTTCGTCCTGTCTTTGGTGCTGCTCTTCCTGCCCGTGTCCATCTGGTTCTGCATCAGAGTAAGAGCAGATTCAGCGTTGTCCAAAGAGGATCCGAGTCAGCAGTATGATCTTTCCTCCGTGTTTGATCGACAGGTGGTGAGGGAGCATGAGCGCGCTGTGGTCTTCAGAATGGGGCACCAGCTGAGGGGCAAACCCAGAGGACCAGGTGAGTGCGTCAGGAGAAGGGTCATTTTAAAGTGGGACTTTTAGGACACAGAAGGTTTGTCAGGATCTTTTGATGGCGAAACAACAAGATGGAGAGATAGATGAGGAAAAAAGAAAGGAAAACATATCACAGGGGATTGAAAAACATGATGGATCTCTGCAGAATTAGTGAGTGAAGCACTAAATTCTGATAATCTCAGGGGAGAGGAAAGGGATTTTGTTTGTAAATGATGGTGACCAAAAGAGAATCTTCATTTCACATGCGTCACTGAAATAAACAAATCTGATTGGACGATCCTGTTTGGTTCTGGTTCGAGATGCAGCAGAGTGGGGAATGGTGATTTAACTAGCTGGGTTTCAATTCACTCAAGCTGTGTACAGGCCAGCCAGAACGGTGCCGGTGCCAGTTCTAGTTCCCACACCTGCTACACTGGGAACCAAAGTGCTTCAGACGATTTAAGTGAACCCATGACGCGTCATCGACTGTGTGGATTTACCACCAAATAAGAACAAGGCCGTACGAAAGCAAAAGTCACAGCGAGAAAATAACAATCATGCATCTCATCACTGACAAACAGCAAACGTTTGGACTCATACAAATCATAATTTATCTTCGCCAAGCTTTGCTACAATATCTGCTGGGGAAAAGGTGGTGACGCCCAGTCCAAAGATGGAACCTCAAACAAACATGGATACAGCAAATATTTGTTCTCCTCCGCTGATGACTGCACAATCTTATTGTCACTTGATTTCTCCACCATGTTCCACACACACATTTTCTTTTTTGTTTATTTTATTTTTTGTGTGACCTGGATGAACCTGCCAACATCTGCTTTGTCGTCACGGTTCGCTTAGAAAAAAACAAGGTTAGATGGTTCGAAAAAAACAAGATTTTCGGTGTGAACACATCAGTCGGTTTGAGATTAGGTACCAGCACTGACACGGTTCTCTGTCAGCTTTAAACACATCTCGTTAAGAATGGACATAATGACAAGTCCCATTTTATAAATACATGCTAATAAGGTACTAAGCATGAGAAACAGTGAGTATGATGCCACACATTCATTTAGCCAATATCGGTATTTTATTATCTAAGAATGTCAGCTGACTGCTGTGATTGGGTAAAACTCCACAGAGTCCCTCCTGTTCTTGACTGATATCAACAGACCTTCCAGATCAATCATGTGGAGAACTCAGAAGTGCTCATCCTGTCATTTTTATGGGCCCTACTTTGTACTTCTGCTTCTTCCCACTTTGTATCTTTGCTCCCAGGTCTCTTGTTCTTTCTGCCGATCCTGGATGTGTGTCACATTGTGGACGTCCGACTGAAGACTCTTAAGATTCCTCTGCACACGGTAACACATTTTAACTGACACTAAGTTTATCGTTTAGAACTAGGCTCAAAACTAATTCAGACTGACTTTTAACATTTTGTAATGCAGTGTCACTTTGCACAGATTTATAGTTTATATCGATCCTTTGCTGCGACATCACGCTGGGGGTGTTCTTCTATGTATCTCTATTGGCGGAATGTTCAGCAGTTACCATGGTGACCAGAGTTCTGCACCGGCAAATAGTAGACTATTCAGATTGCAGCCTGAAGTGACCCAAATCAGATTTTTTTGCCCCTATGCTCCCGTATCTGATCTTTTAATGACAGTCTGAACGACACAGATCCGATTTTTTTCAAACGTGACCCAGGACACTTGGATATGTGCTCCTTAAACCAATACATATCTGATCTTTTGACATGCAACTTCAGCCTGAACGGTCAGGTCACATTCATCCCACCTACACATCATAACTACACGGTAACAAGCCCCTGTAGCGAGCGAATAGAGCCCAACACCACTGCGTATTCTCACTGAAATAAGCCTCCGAAGACATGTTTTCTCCCACAAGAGTACAAGTAGGTGCTCACAAATGTACACAAACGTTCTTCTCGTCATATGAAAATTGTGTCTCAACTCCCTGTGAATGAAGCAGTGAGGCACAGATCAATCCCTCCACTCTTGGCTGTGACTCTGCACCCACACGTTCCTTTCTACGGATGTTGCTGCCACTGCCCCACGAAACTCCGCGGCCAAAAACCTCGTTCTTCTCCTTCTCAATCTCCTCCTTGAAATAAATAATCTGTACATGTTCTGACTCCGGTACGATAGCGACTTTAAATCTCCAGATGCTCGATGCTGCGTCCATGTTTAGGCGACTTCCGTAAACACTGAGCATGCTCGCTGCGCACTCGGGACACTTTTAGGGTGTTTAAAGTTCACACTGGAGATCACGGACAAGTCGCATTTAATTGGAAATGTGAACGACCTCGCAAAAAAATCAGATTTCACAAAAAAAATCCGAACTGAGTATTAAGCCCTGCAGTCTGAACGTCGCCTTTGATATAATCACGGGTTAACAGGCGGGTGCGGTGCTGTACTGCGCAGGTGAGGGCGGGTGCGGGTCTCTAAAAATGGACCCGTGCAGGACTCTGATGGTGACGCAATGCACACATTAGCAGAAAGACAAAAAAGCTTTAAGACAGTCAAAAAACTCAAGAGCATAAAACAGCTCACCTGTTGTAGTTTCTGTTAAGTGAGCTCTTTCTGGTCAGATTGTGATAAAATAAGCTTAAAGTCTACTTGAGACAGACCAGTGCCTCCAGTTGGCTTCGCCGTCCTAGTTTGAGGTGGTATTGAACCCTCCCCCTGCCTGTCTGTGTCTCAGGTGGTGACCAAAGACCTGCTTCAGTGGGAGCTGAGTGCAGTGTGTTATTATCAGCTGGAGAACGTGGCCCTGTGCAGCGGCGCCCTCTGCAGTCTGGACTCCACGCTGCAGGCGGTGGTCCAGGGGGTGATCCGGGACGTTCTGTCTGAGCTGAGTCTGAGCCAAGCCCTGGGGCAGAGGAGGAGGCTGGGGCAGAGGATCCAGAGGGCGGCCGACGCTCTGCTGTGCCGCTGGGGCATCAGGCTGGAGAGGGCAGATATGTGAGTGAACGGGGAGAGGGTCATTCCACGGCAAATCCCCGAATGCCCCCGCCCGACCATCAGATTTGACTGAAAAAATTCTAGGAGGTTCACACTCTTTTCAATAGACGCATCAAGAATCTCAGACTTCCGGTCATTGCGCAATGAGCATCAAACTTCCATGTTTGTTTTCCCAGTGGGATGCGTCTATTGACAAAGTTGATCTTTTCAAGTCTTTTGAACCATATCACTTTTATTTCTTTTGTAATTGTGTGGTTGTTGGATCCTAACAGCGGAAAACGGCTCGAGAAATTTGTTTGCAAACTCCATAAATGCAAAAGTGAATCAGATGTGTGTGACTGCAAACCTCTGTTCAAACTGTTTCTCTTCCCAACGGAATTGAAAAATAGTGAAAGGCGAAGGTGATGGGCAGGATTGATCCACGGGAAGGACGAAAAAGGAAACCTTTGACTTCCTGAATCATCCCGAGTTTGCAGCGAATGACATGTTTTGTCATGTAAACAGATGTAGGGTCATTCCACGCCAAATCTCAGAATGCCCTGTTCAACCATTTCAGATTTGACTGAAAAAATTCTAGAAGGTTCACTCACTTTCCAATAGAAAAAGTCCCAAATTTTAGCTCCCAACTCCTTATAGTTTTGTCATTAAAAAAAATATTTTGTCAACTTCCCCCTGGCCTATTTTGAGCAGAGTTTTCTGAAGAGTCACTTTCAGATTGCTGCATCTACAAAAATATTTAAGGTCAGTCCTTCAAATTTTCAAGGGTTAAAATTTGTCAAATGTACTTGCACAATCTGGACTTTTACACATGTGCTTCTGATTTATCACCAATTTCTGGGGGCTTGAATTTGCTAGAAAATTCTACTCTTCAAATCTGAGGGCGTCTTTGAAGGACTGTGGAAAGTGCAATTTCAAAAACAGAGGTTTGATATTCAACTTTACACCTTCCAAAACTATAAGGAGTTGGGAGCTAAAATTTTGGGTTTTATTATTGGAAAGTGTGTGCATCTCCTAGAATTTTTTGAGTCAAATCTGAGATGGTCGGGCGAGGACATTTGGAGATTTGGTGTGGAATGACCCAAGAGTGAAGGGCCTGAAGCAAAAAAGGAAAGAACTGAACACATGTGGAATAAAACAAACTGGTTTATTATTTAAATGTTTGATATTATTACTGTCATTTCCGAACTATACGCTGCTACTTTTTCCTCATACTCTGAACCGTGTGGCTTGAACAACGATGCGGCAAACAGTTTGGTTGCAAAAAAAAAAAAAAAAAAAAAATTAAAATTAATTAAAATTAATTAAAATGGATACAATTTTTAACCTGAGATTTACTTGTGTTTGTCTCAGAGAGGAGCTCATTTTACCTGCAGAGCTCCAGAGAAAAATCCAACCTGAAACTGAGGCCAGACCAAACCCACGACAGGTAAAATAACTACAGACCACACCCACACCCACATACAGACTACAGACCACACCCACATAATAACACAGACCACACCCACAACACACAACAGGTAACACAACTATAGACCACACCCACAACAGGTAAAGAATAACAGACACACCCACAACAAACCACACCCACAACAGGTAAAAGAATAACAGACCACACCCACAACAAACCACACCCACAACAGGTAAAAGAACTACAGACCACACCCACAACAGGTAACAGAACTACAGACCACACCCACAACAGGTAAAAGAATAACAGACCACACCCACAACAAACCACACCCACAACAGGTAAAAGAACTACATACATTTGTGATAATTTAATTCATATGCTTTAGGGTGCACTCACTCTAGGATTTTAGAATCGTGCCCAAGCATAGATCGCCCCTAAAAGCTTTGGTACGTTTGTCCAGTGTGAGCGCAATCGAACCGTGCTCAGGTGCGGCACAAGTGAGACTTTGGCCCGATTGGAGGAGTTGGACCAAAGCATGGTATGGAGCTCATGTACGCGCACACACGACTTGATTATATGAGCTGATGTTACTCATACAAGGAAAAGAGTGAATAAAATCTGCTCCAAAACACATGGCAAACCCCCGCTTACCTTTAATAAGGACAGACTGAAGTTTAGCTGCGTCTCGTCTCCGGCTGTCCTCACTGCTCTGCTCTGTTTTTATCTCCATAAACTCACAGAGGAGCGCGTATCATAAAAGGACAGACATCAGCCTCACTATTTAATAGATATTTCTCTACTAAAAGTGCTAGCACATGTAAACAAACAGCGTCGTGTGATGACGTCATCGGGTCGTGGCTCGGTTCGGTTCTGCAGGTGTGAGTGCGGAACATAGAACCCACAGCACAGCACGATTCTAAAGTCCTCGTGTGAGTGCGCCCTAAGAATGATTTTGTAAGATGAGTTTAGACTAAACTAAATAAACTAAAGTATGAAGGTAGAAAGCAGTAGTTGAACTTGACCGTGTTTCTAACCTCAAGACGTTTTGATGCCCATTAGGATGCCAGCCTCAGTTCTGGATGAGAACACAAATAAATATGTTTTTCTAATCATGTTAATTGTTTTGTTTCAAGGCAAAAGTACACAGACTTGGAGGAGCTTGAATCTTGTCTCCACTCATCCTTTTTATTCATTTTTGTTTAGTTTTAATTAGTTTACGTAAATATCTTGTAATCAGTCATCACTGTTATTTTTTTGTTTTGTTGGTTTTAGTCGTCAGCATAAAAAAAAACCAGTCAGTGTCATGTCTTAAGTATTACTGTACTGTTTTATGCTTGTTTCTAAGTATTTTGTTTTACTGAAATAATAAAATCTGATTCTGACACTGAAGAAGTTTTGTATTTGATGAAATCCTCTCTTCTGCAGCTGAGAGCCACGGACACAGACAGAGACCCCTGGGACGGTCTTCGCTCATCGCTGAGACTCCTGCACCCGGCCCTGGTCCTCCCCCTGCCCCCTGACCTCCTCAACGTGACCTCTGACCTCTCATCACTGCCCCCGCCTCCCCCACCTCCTCCTCCCCCTGTCGCCACGGAAACAGAGAAGCAGGAGATCGCGCCGCCCGGGACCGAGGATTCTCCGATGATGTGACCAAACCTGAAATCTATGACAGATTTGGATGAGTAATTTATTTCACAATTATGGATGTTAGAGTTTGACTTGTTGTGATTGTAAATGTTGTGTAATAAACTAATTAAAATTCACAATTACCCGGGCCTATCAAATGTAAAACGACAATATAACAACTAAAATTAATTTCCAATAAATAACATCGTGCATCTTTAAAGTATTTTGTAATTTTTTTTTTTTCTGGAGATGTTAAATTTATCCATCTCCTTTGGTACAAACGTGTGATGAGATAATGCCAAGTTACAAGTCAGATCTGTGGAGAGGCGAGCCCACTTTTCGTCAAGCTACCATTGATATTTTGTCGATAAAAACACTTGTAATTGAATAAACACTAAAGTTTAATGGCATGATGTAGAATAATTCCACGCAAAACAATAACATCCCCAAGGAGACAAGTAATATTATATTTTTTTATTATTTTTATTTTGATTGTCATGATTATTTTTATATTTTTGTTATTTATATATTCTGCTGTCCGTGCTTTTCCTCTTATTTATCTGAACCACATGCACAAGGCACGTGCACATGCAACATCCAACTTTAATTTAGTAATGCCATCATGCTAAAAATATTCTTAAATGATTCTTAAAGGGCCCAGATTACGATATTTTCTGATCTATGTTCAAATGTAGTTTCCTCATCACAAACAGTTCAATTTAATTCAAAAGTTTATTATCAAATTTCCACGTGAACATATGAACAATTTTAATGATGTGCTCGCTCTCAATCTTCTAAATGAAATAATGGTGAAAAAAGGAAAAGTCCAAAGTTCTTCTTTAGGGAGACAGTCTGGTGGTTTAGGGGAGGGAGTTCAGCATCCTAACAGCCTGGTGGATAAAGCTGTTAGTGAGTCTGGTGGTGCGAGAACGGAGGCGGGATGTGGGTGAGGCGGGTGGTGTACGTTCGGGGTGAGGTGGGTGGTGTAAGTGCGGGTGAGTCGGGCGTTGTATGTAGGGGGTGAGGCAGGCGGTGTACGTGCGGGTGAGGTGGGTGGTGTACGTGCGGGTGAGGTGTCGTGCGGGTGAGGCGGGTGGTGTATGTGCAGGTGAGGCCAGCGGTGGTCGTGTGGGGTGAGGTGTACATTCGGGTGAGGTGGCGGGGTCGGCGGGTGAGGCGGGTGGTCGTGCGGGTGAGGTGTACGTTCGGGGTGAGGCGGGCGGTGTACGTTCGGGGTGACGTGGGCGGTGTATGTGCGGGTGAGGTGTACATTCGGGGTGAGGCGGGCGGTGTATGTGCGGGTGAGGTGTACGTTCGGGGTGAGGCGGGCGTGTATGTGCGGTGAGGTGTACGTGCGGGTGAGGTGGGCGGTGTCGTGCGGGTGAGGGTGTATGTGCGGGTGGGTGTAGGGGTGAGGCGTGTACGTGCGGGTGAGGTGACGGGCGGGGGTGAGGTGGGCGGTGTGTGCGGGTGAGGTGTACATTCGGGGTGAGGCGGGCGGTGTATGTGCGGGTGAGGTGTACATTCGGGGTGAGGCGGGTGCGGGTGAGGTGTACGGGTGAGGCGCGGTGTATGTGCGGGTGAGATGTGAGCGGGCGGGGTACTTTTTTTCTGTAGCACAAGAGCCCAAAATGTTTTTAACCTTTACATACTAAAAAAAAAAGTAATGTGTTGAAGTATTCAGCAGAATGTGGCTCCACCAAAACTGAGACCAAATCCACGCCCTTGAAACTACCTCTTCATGACATCACAAGGTGGACCAGAGCGTTTTGAGGTTTGGAGACGAATAATAAAGAGTTACTCAAACATGTGAATGAAGATTAACTGCCCCCACCGACGCCTCAGGGGGACCAGGTTGCTCTCTCTGATTGCGCTTGTTTATTCTGAGAGTAAGAATTTTATATATTTATATATATTTGTTATCTGGAATGTTTTTCTGTTGCACAAGAGCCCAAAATGTTCTTATATAATATTCAGTTCAAACTTGACCCGTTTTGACATTCAGCAGTAGTAAAAATACCCTATGTGTCATTCCTTTATCCTGAAATGTGATGACTTTTCCTACATTTTGCCAAAATACACAAAAATGAAAATATTTTAAAATGTTATACTTTTGTACAGGTGCTACAAATTTTTGGACACTGAGGCTGGTTCGGGTAAATTTTGACCTGTACCTATTGAGATGGATTTATTAGTGCGGGTCAAATGAAGGAAAATGAAAGTTTTATTGAATCTTGAAACTGTGAAACTGTACAGACCGTGGTTGTGTGTATTTTTTTGTGGGACATTGGTGACAGAGTTCGAGAGGTCACTGCTCTTTCTTCTCTTTACAGTGTGTAAAGGTTAAAATTTGAAAAAAAAAGGAAAAAGTAAAGTGTTTAAGTATTCAGCAGAGTGTGGCTCCACCAAACTTACACCCTTGTAACTATCTCTTCATGACATCACAAGGTGGAACAGAGCATTTTGAGGTTTGGAGATGTAGACAGATGAATAATAAAGAGTTACTCCAACGTGTGTGACTGAAGCAAAACACAACTCCAGGTCTGTTTTCGAGGAGGTAACAACATTCTAACACGGCTTAAAGTTCACAAGAGTCACTTTTGCGTAAAACAGGAGCTTTAAAGTAGAACTACGGGCATCAGTGGCTGGATTCACGGTGAGTTCCTACGTTCAGGACACAGATCTTGTACAGAACCAACAACAGAGGCACAGATGTGAGGAGGATGAGGAACACCAGGAAACCGATCAGAGCCTTGTCATTGACTGAAGACAGAAAAGACAGAAAAGACAGATCAGTCAGCCGTCTCATAGACCAGCACACAGATTACATGTACTGGAGTTACGTAATCAGAGTACAAATTATGAGTAACTGTATTCAGTTACAGTTACTGTTTCAGTGAGTGGTAATTGGATTACAGTTACTTTGTTGAAATAAATGGATTACACGGCGGGATTTTCCCGTTTTCACATTTTGGGCTAAACCAGGTCTAAACCAGAACTAAACCAGGACTAAACCAGGAGTAAAATCATGTCTAAACCAGGACTAAACCAGGACTAAATCAGGACTAAATCAGGACTAAACCAGGACTAAACCAGAACTAAACCAGGAGTAAAATCATGTCTAAACCAGGACTAAAAAAGGACTAAACCAGGACTAAACCAGGAGTAAAATCGTGTCTAAACCAGGACTAAACCAGGACTAAACCAGAACTAAACCAGGAGTAAATTTGTGTCTAAACCAGGACTAAACCAGGACTAAACCAGAACTAAACCAGGAGTAAAACCATTTCTAAACCATGTCTAAACCAGGACTAAAACCAGGACTAAAACCAGGACTAAACCAGGAGTAAAACTATGTCGAAAACCAGGTCTAAACCAGAACTAAACCAGGTCTAAACTAGGACTAAACCAGGTCTAAACAGTATGACACTAACAGTAGGTGGACATACTCATATAAATTTCTCATTTCACATATAAAAATAATTTCTCTATCAATAATATTTTTAATCTGGTTAAGGAATGACTGGACTTTTTATTTTCTTTTAAGAGATAAAACTTCTTATGTTCAGATCCTCGTCTTTGTTTCTCTACAGTAAAACAAAAGTCTGTTCATGGAGACTTGGGCTCAGCCAATTTGAAGAAAACAAACATGAATTTTCAGGATGTGGTTGGTACATTCATGTCATTTTAAAAAGCACAACAATATCAAGTAATCCAAAGTATTCAGATTACGTTACTCTTTTAAGTAATTTAATGGATTACATTACAAACTACATTTTGAGGTATGTAATCTGTAATCTGTAGGGGAATACATTTTAAAACCTTCCCAACACTGCCAGCACGAATCACAAACCAAACAAGAATCATACGTACAGCCAGTGTTCACTGTTTTGTAACTTGAGGTACTTTCATGTTCACCATTAAAGGCTTTGACCTGAAGACAAAAACAATAATATTAGTAGTTGTAGTACTAGTACAGGTAATAGGAGTCAATAGGGTTTTGCTAAAATATCCAAATATCGGTATCGTGATATTAAATTTAGTGGTACTCTATGGTTATTGTGGGCAGCTGTGTCGGTGTAAGAGTGTTTTTGGTACATTTTTGTGACAGTACTAAAATTTTTATGTTTTTTTGTTTGTTTTTTCAGAGAAAGGAAATTTGTTTACGTAAGAAGTAGCAGTAGTAATACTAATAGTAGCAGTAATGTAGTAGTAGCAGCAGTAGTAATAGCAGTAGTTGTAGTAGCAGCAGGGTCTGGTCAAGTGGTAACGGAGGGAAACAGGGGCAGATTTTTGACATTCAAATGTCTCTTATTCAGAAACTAGAGGAACTATTGAAATAAGTAAAGTATCAGAATGTAGGAAAGAGTTACACTCCAACAGGGTCAAGTTAAACCTGTGATATTCTTTCAAGTTGTTGACAAAAAATTTCAAAACTCATGTCAGTAACGGAGGGAATGAAAAATGCTGCACTTTTTGGGCAATAAATCCAAACAGTGATAACTCTTGGTTCTCACTTACATATCCTTAACAAACTGGTTTGAATATTTGCTTCATATAGTTTTCTACCATATGGTACAAGATTAGGCTGAAAAACCTCTTACTTTTTGACTCATGAGATTTTTTATTAAGAAAGGTCATGGTAACGGAGGGAAAAGTAACGGAGGGAAAATTGTTCAAACAAGTAGAAGGTGCAGGATTTTACATCAATTTGTCGCTTTTTTCTTCTGAATACTTTAATATTACTTCAAAATGAAAGAAACTATTTCTATAAAATATGTCAGTCCTTCCAAGCAAATTTTTATCATTTAAATCCTTTTTTTTTTTTTTTTAAAAATCATGTACCTTCATCAACAGTTCAAAGATGGAATAACACAAGATATGATGAAATACATCCATTTATTTACATGATTTTCAGGTCTTTGAAATTTGGGAAATAATTTTTGTTCCATGTTTCATACATGGTCTGTTTAAAACATATGGAACTTTAGAACCAAAAATGGTACAGAAAAAAGGTCAACAGTTTCATAAACTAGAGTACATATGTATCTGTTCAATACATTTTTATATCAGATGAATTAACTTGAATTTTTGGACTTGATGTTTACTTCTGCTTGACCGGGTCCAGTAGCAGTAATAGTAATAGTAATAATAGCAGTAGCAGTGATAGCAGTAGTAGTGGTACTAGCAGTAACAGTTGTAGTAGTAGTAGTAGTAGTAATAGTAATAGTAATAGTAATAGTAGTAGTAGTAGTAGTAGTAGTAGTAGTAGTAGTAGTAGTAGTAGTAGTAGTAGTAGTTGTAGTAGTACAGCAGTAGTAGTAATTGCAGTTGTGGTAGCAGTAGCAGTAATAGTAACATTAGCAGTAGCAGTAGTAGTAATAGTAATAGTAATAGTAATAGTAGGAGTATAAGTAGTAGTAGCAGCAGTAGTAGTGTAGTAATAGTAATAGTAGCAGCACTAGTTGTTGTTGTAGTAGTAGTAGTAATAGTAGTAGCAGTTGTAGTAATAGCAGTGTAGTAGTAGTAGTAATAACAGTACAAGTAATAGCAGTAGTAGTTCTAATAGCAGTAGTAGTAGTAGTTGTTGTTGTAGCAGTACTAGTAATAGCAGTAGTAGTTGTAATAGTAGTAGTAGTAGTAGTAGCAGTAATAGCAGTAGTAGTAGTAGTATTAATACAAACATGAACACAGTGTGTAACTTCAGATGTACTGACCTCCACGACGTAGGTGCTGGAGAACTTTAGATCTCTGAAGTTAAAATGGCACTTGTGACTTTCTAACACTTTAGTATTTTTTTGGTCATCTTTGAGAACGGCTTTGTATTTTTGCATTGGACCCCTAAAATTAACTGTCCCACTGCAGTTCACGAGGATGGAGTTATTTTCTGTCAAATACACTATCAACTTCCCAGGGTTATCTGGAGCTGCAACAAAAGACCAAATCATTTACATTTACATTTACATTTACATTTACATTTACAGATCAGAGCACACACTTCACTAAAACACAGGTAATGTAATTATATTATTATTAATATATATATATAAGATCTCACTGAAAATCTTTCATTTCAACATTTTTGTTGGTTTTTCTCCCTGGTTGGACGCGGGCAGCAGATGTGAAAACATGCATCACAAATTTCGGATTTCCGGTCATTGCGGTGTCCATACTGGGAAGGATTTTCTGAAAAAGTGAGCATCAAACTTCCATGTTTGATTTCCCAGTGGGATGTGTCTATTGTCAAAGTCGATCTTTTCAAGTCTTTTGTTTCTGGTTCTGATATTGTCATATTTTAGTTTTGGGATTCAGATATCATAATTGTGTGGTTGTTGGATCCTAACAGCGGAAAACGACTCGAGAAATTTGTTTGCGAACTTCATAAATGCAAAAGAGAATCAGATGTGTGTGACTGCAAACCTCCGTTCAAACTGTTTCTCTTCCCAACGGAATTGAAAAATAGTAAAGGTGAAGGTGATGGGCAGGATTGATGAAATGAAAAAACGGATAACATTTGTTTTTTCAGTTTTCAATTTTGTGTTTAAATGAAAAATGGAAAAAACTGATAACGGGCGTTTCCTGTTTACGTGACTTAAACTACGATAACGGACTTTTGTGCAGCAAAAGGACTAAGCCAAGACTGAACCAGGACTAAACAAGGTCTGGAACCAGACTAAGGACTGAGACCAGGACTTAGACCGGGACCAGACAAGGACTGAGTCTGGGACCAGGACCGGGACTAAGACTGGGACAGAGACCGGGACCAGACCAGAATTGAGACCGGGACGAAGACCGGGACCAGACTGAGATCAGACCAGGACTGAGACCAGTACTGAGACTGGGACCAGACCAGGACTGAAACGGTTTAGTCCTGATTCAGTCCTGGTTCAGTTTGGCATCACAGTTACAGAAGTCACGGAACCGGGAAACGTCCGTTATCCGTTTTTTCCATTTTTCATTTAAACACAAAATTGAAAACTGAAAAAACAAATGTTATCCGTTTTTTCATTTTGTTTTTTTTAGACAAATAATGAAATTAAAGAAAATAGTTGCATTTTCATTTTCTTATTTTTGGTTCTATATTGAAAAACAAATGAACGAATGATACACAGATTATCCATAATTAATCAGTGCTAGTGCAGCCTCTGCAGCTCAGTGACTGAACTGTGTGTTTCCTCTATCTGCAGCTCAAGGCCCTGGTCGGGTAGAGACTTTAATTCTCTTTTTAAACCAGCAGACTACATTTTTTTAAACTAGTAAAGTCTAACTACATTCAGTTTAAAATAATGAAAATATGTTTTTTTGCACAAGATCTAAATTCTAAACTGCAGTTGGTGCACTTACTTCCAGCTTCGGTCCGGACTGTTTTTTCATGTTGCTTGAGCTCAATGTCTTCATCATAGAAGGTCTGGATCTTACAGTCATATCTGGTCCATGCTTCCAGTCCTTTCACAGTGCACTTTTGTTCAGAAGACATTTCTTCAGAAAACTTCCTGTGCCACCAGTCTGTGAAAACAGTGAAGACATGACACATTTATATAAAGCACAAACCAGCATCAGGCTCTGTAAACACCTGTGCATTTACAGGAGTCAGATCAAACGTGCTGGTGAAAAAAGAAAAACTGCTTTTCTAAAGGTATCTGTTGGACAGTTAAAAAGGTTTTTCTATATTCCTGGTTTTAACCCTCTCCAGGCAGGCGTTGCAGATTTGCAACAGCTAAATTCCAAGTACCTACTTACTCCACATCCATATTTTATGAGCTTTTTTACTCAGGAGCCTTTTCTCCCATCCATGTTGATAAACGTGGACGATGCAGATTGTGCAAGAACAGCTCCACGCAAACGGCCAGAAGTGCAAAATACTTTTTTTGTTTACAAAGGATAAAAAAGTCAGAATTGTATATTACTACCCCATATTATAATTTTCCCCAAATATCAGATTTTTCCTGATACTAAAAATTAATTTGAGCCTGAGAGGGTTAACAGTGACAACTAAAACTTTCTCCGGCGAAACTCAGACAAGACACAAGTCATAGTGTTTGGCCCACAGAAACAGGGAGACAGTGTCAGCAGTCTCCTCCAGTCTCTCTCTCTGAAACCTTCAAATCAAGCAAGACATTTTGGGGTAATAATGGACTCAGATTGGAACTTTAACAGCCACATCAAATCAATAACATCTGCAGACTTTTACCATCTAAAAAAACATAGCAAAAATCACAGTTTTACTGTCTAAATCAAACTTGGAGAGACTTATCCATGCGTTTGTCTCCAGTAGGATAGACTCCTGCAACGGCCTCTCACTCTCATCATCCGGAACACTGCAGCTCGGGTCCTGACTTGAACCAGGAAGTACGAGCACATAAGTCCTGGTCTCAGGTCTCTGCACTGCCCCCTGTGGCTCAGAGACTTTAAAGCGGCTCTGCTTGTACAGTGCCGCATGAGCCATCTGCATTTCCCTACTGGCCAAGATTCAGTTTGTCAAATAAAATCTTTATATATTTTTATTTATTTTATTATTTATTATTTTTATTATTAATTTATTTTACATATTTAGTCATCAGTAAAAAATAAAAAATAAAAAATAGAAATAATGATAAAAAAATAAAATTAATTAATTAATAAAATATGTAATAATAATAATAATAATAATAATAATAATAATAATTATTATTATTATTATTATTATTATTAGTTTATTAGTATTATTATTACACAAAAATTATAAATAATCTGGGATGGCTGAAACTATGCACCAGTTCAGCTTTTTATTCACTCACAGCGGCAGTAAAGAAAAATAAATAAATAAAATTAAATAAATATATAAATAAAAATATAATAGTCAGAAGTAATCATCAGAATGTGAAATGATTCATACCAAAATTATACTTACCATACGTACATGTACACTTGTATTTTAGTTTAGGCTTGAGAAGTGTTACATTGCAGTTCTTGGTTTTTGGTTTCCACTGGAGAGAAGTGGAATTTTCAGTCGAAGTTGATGATATTTCCAATGAATGAAGATCTGTTGAAAAATGTATTGCATATATTTGAATCACGTTAACTCACACACTTCTGTAAGATTAAAAATAGTGAGGTCCTTACTGCAGTCGGTGTCCACTTCGATTGGGTCAGTTTTAGTGCTAAATTTTTCATTAGTTATATTCCCAACGCATGTGTACTTTTTAAACGGCTCCAGCGCAGATAACGCCTTGTAAATATTTTTTGTATCTGAAGACAATAAGAAAGAGTTAAAGGTTCTATATTACACAAAATGGACTCTTGTGAGAGTTAAACCATGTTGGAATGTTGTTAGCTCCACAAAAACAGACCTGAACTTGTGTTCTGTTTTCATTCCCACACATTTGAGTAACACTTTATTTTTAGTCTGTCTGCATCTCCGAACCTCAAACTGCTCTGTTCCTGCACCTTTTACTTTTAGTTTAGCAGAGATCAGCAATTCCAGGGCTGAAATTATCCAAATGATTCTAGTGAAGGTGTGTGGAGTTTTAAAACACAGCAGTACATTTTTGTGACAGTGCTACAATTTTTATGTTTTTTGTTTGTTTTTTTCAGAGAAAGGAAATGTGTTTATGTAAGTAGCAGTAGTAGTAGTAGTAGTAGCAGTAGTAGTAGTAATAGTAGTAATAGTAATAGTAGTAGTAGCAGGAGTAGTAGTTGTAGCAGTAGCAGTAGTAGTAGTAGTAGTAGTAGCAGTAGTAGTAGTTGTAGTAATAGCAGTAGTAGTAGTAGCAGGAGTAGTAGTAATAGCAGTTGTAGTAATAGTAGTAGTAATAATAGCAGTACTAGTAGCAGTAGTAGTAATAGTAATAACAGTAGTAGTAGTAACAGAAGTAGTAGTAGTAGCAGTAGTAGTGATAGTAGTAATAGTAATAATAGCAGTAGTAGTAGTAGCAGTAGTAGTAATAGTAGTAACAGTAGTAAAAATAGTAATAGTAATAATAGCGGTAGTAGTAGCAGTAGTACAGTAGTAGTAATAACAGTACTAGTAGTAGTAGTAGCAGTAGTACAGTAGTAGTAATAACAGTACTAGTAGTAGTAGTAGCGGTTCAGGAAGTGGTTCGTGATTCAAAACATAAGAAATTATAATTTTTATTTAATTTTTTTTTTTGCGATGGAGCTGCAAGAAAATATAATATTTCCCCTGTTTGGGAACATTTTGAGCTAATATCTCCTAATAAGTTTTATAGTAATAATGATGTCATTAAATAAACATTATTACTAAATACACACATTTGACAACACAGTGTCACAGACACATTACATCTCTATGTCCAATTTGCTCCTACTTTTTCTTTTAACCCGACCATTATATCATGAACACAGATTCCATGTTAATAAATTCACAGTTTACATTTATATTATATATATTTTATATCTGAATCACAAACATTCAAATATTTAATCATTCATTTATTCAGTATAAATCTTTCCATGAGAACCTCGATGATCATGTCGATTGTTCTATTTTCACTCTGTCTGTTATAAATTTTTTTATGCACTTGATGGCGCAGTGGAGCCAATGATGCGCCTTGAAGCATCGGCTCAAGAGTCGAGCAAATGGATGGAACGCTTCAGTGCTAAAAACTAAAAAAAACTAAAACAGTTTCTTAACAACAATTAAATCGTTTGTGCGTGTGCGTGTGCGTGTGCGTGTGCGTGTGCGTGTGTGTGTGTGTGTGTGTGTGTGTGTGTGTGTGTGTGTGTGCGTGTGTGTGTGTGTGTGTGTGTGTATAACTCACCTACACAGTTGTAATCAGTCGTTAGGTTACATTTTTTAGGCAGTGGGGTTATAAACTTGATTTCTAGTGGATGTCCATTTGCATATTTGGTCACTTTTTGGTTCAGGTTTGCCACACTTAGAAACGTTTCTGCAACAGACATTAAAGAAAACATTTAATCCTAACATAGGCTGTGTTATAAATCTAAAAAACTGCTACGTAAAGGCACAATGTGTAACTTTTCTGGTGTGGGAGGTCCACCATTTATTTGTCACCATGTAAGTTTTTGTTTGTTTCTTTAATCGTTAAGAAAATACCTAGAAAATGCACATCCTTCACCTGCTCGTCTCCATGGAGATCGACATGTTTAATGTCATACTATGGAACATTCTGGGTTAAGCAATAACATCTCCACGGAGACAAGAAGGTGGTGGACTCTACACCGGTTCCTCGGCCACAAGAAAATATAAAACTGTCAATCTCACAGTGGAGAAAATCACAGCTTTTCAGAAAGTATCAGCCAGATTAAAGGTACACTATGTTACTTTTCTGCCACTTGCTTGTCTCCATGGAGATGTTATTGTGTTTCCTGTTCCGCGATATGGCATTAAACTTAGATATCTTTCTCCATGGAAAAAAGCAGACCAAGATACAGTTCAGATCTGTGGAAAGACAAGCAAGCTCACAATACTGCATTTAATTTTTTAATGTAATGTGTTAATAATTTAATATAATTTTTACTATAAAACCTGTAATTTTATATACAAGTATATGGTGCATTTCAGGCAATACATTAAAACCTCCAGAGCAAGTGACAGCCAACTATATGAATTTAATTATGTATATTTGTTTAAAAAAAATCACAGCAACAAAAGTTCTGGGTCATTCCACGGCAAATCTCTCGAACATCTGAGATTTGACTGAAAAATTCTAGGAGGTTCACTCACTTTCCAAAAGGAAAAGTCCCAACTTCTTATAGTTTTGTCATTAAAAAATATTTTGTCAACTCCCCCCTGACCTGTTTTGAGCAGAGTTTCCCGAGGAGCCAATTTCAGATTGCTGTATCTAAAAAACTATTTAACGTCGGTCCTTCAAAGTTTCAAGGGTTTTCTTAACTTCTGAAAGTGCATTCATAGTCCATGAAAGATTTAAAAACAGACATCTAGTCTTTCTAAAACAGTCCATTTTATGTTGGTGGGTGCTGTTATTTTATTTTTTTCCTTTTTTAATACTTAATATCTTCTAGAACATTCATCAGTTTTAAAAACAAAGTCCACAGCCTTTGTGGGAAGGTGTATCTTCAATATCAAACCTCTGTTTTTGAAATTGCACTTTCCACAGTCCTTTAAATATGCCCTCAGATTTGAAGAGTAGAATTTTCAAACAAGTTCAAACCCCCAGAAATCTGTGATAAACCAAAAGCACATGTGTAAAAGTTCAGATTCTACAAGTACGGTTGACAAATTTTAACTGTTGAAAATTTGAAGGACTGACCTTAAATAGTTTTTTAGATGCATCAATCTGAAAGTGGCTCTTCAGAAAACTCTGCTCAAAACAGGTCAGGGGGAAGTGGACAAAATATTTTGTTTAATGACAAAACTATAAGGAGTTGGGAGCTAAAATTTGGGACTTTTTCTATTGGAAAGTGAGTGAACCTTCTAGAATTTTTTCAGTCAAATCTGAAATGGTCGAGCAGGGACATTTGGAAATTTGGTGTGGAATGGCCCTACTTCTGTTTACATCCACTAAGTGACAGTGTGATCACAAACCAGCAGGGAGAGGTACGGTGTCTGTGAAGGGACATCTGGGGTTGTTGAATGTTACGCTGAGGTTCGAGCAGAGGTCTTGATTGGTGACACTGACGCAGCAGGTCTGTGGAGCTCCTGGACAGAGTTGAGCCTCAGCTCCCAGTGCAGACACATCTGAACATGTCAGCTTCCACTTTGTGTTAATGGAGATTTTTCCAACAGAGTGTGGAGCAAACATGAAGTCTCCTGGTTCTGGAACAGGCAAAAACAAACAAATAGTAATGACATGTAGTAGTAGTAGTAGTAGTAGTAGTAGTAGTAGTAGTAGTAGTAGTAGTAGTAGTGGTGGTAGTAATAGTACAGTGAACGTACAGATTAAGTTGGATTAACATGGATTCTACCTGGATGACTGAGGGATTTTTCAAACAGATTATGTTTCCACTTTGTGTTAAATAAGATTTTTCTTGTTGTAGTAAGTGTATAGTAACAGATAGTTGTAGAAGTAGGATAAGGTGGTCAGTGTTGGGGAAGATACTTTAAAAAAGTTTGCTTGTTACTCATTACTTCTTAATCTTAAAAGTAATCCCTAACTTTTTTTGTTACCGTCTATGGAAAGTAACTTTAGTAACTGTTTGGTGGTAAACTCCATCTGAGGCTAAATATGGCACGAGACCGACAGTCGACAAGAACTGTCGGGGAAAGTTGAGAAGAACTTTGAAGTTGAAGTTCAAGAGGTAAATGGGTGGGGTCCGCGCAGTCTCCCCGGGGGATTCAACTTGGAGGAGAAAGGACGACCAATCTGAAACAGGAGCCAAAGGTCAATGCAGTGCACCATGACCGGCTCTGGGTGGCCAGGAAAGGCTCAAGGTGATGGTGGCAAGATGCTCCGACTGCTTTACAGCTCTTCCTGCCCGGACCTCGCCACTTCGCCGCCCTCCCTGGGAACAGGCCCCTTGCTCTTGGGGGTCCTCAGTCCTCCCCAACTACGTCACATCCCCCAGGGCGGGGAACGGCCCACGTACACAGAAAAGTATCATTGCACCAAACTGGAAGTGGTTATGTTACTGTAACGCATTACACCCAACAATGTTGGTAGTTATGACAGTAGTAGTAACAGTGGTAGTAGTAGTGGTGGTAACAGCAGTAGCAGTAGTCCAAATACTACTTGTAGTTTCTAGCACAATAGTATTTTTTTAAAACATAAAAAGTAGAACTATTATAACTACATAATTTTAAACTGTTGCACTGCATCAGTCCAAATACATTCTGATCATCTTTATTATTCACCACAATGAGTTACTTCCTAATTCATAGATGATAAAAACACTTTACAATTAGATCCTAAAAGTTGGTTTTACAGCATTTATGTACTGTACATGACAAAAATCTGGTACAGTGCCTTTAAGTAACAGTACTTTTACTTGTGGTAAATGTTTTTGGTACTTTTTTCCACTGTGAATAAATCTATAAATGAAAAGTTAATTTTTGAATTTGAACATTTGTCTTTAATGAATTAATGAACAAAGCAGAAGTTGCATTACTCACTCATGTTGGTGGTGGTGGCTCTGATGGCGGTGGTGACATTATCTGTGCCTGTACACGTCACTCCTCCTGCTCGTTGGAGTCTGACCGTGTATTCAGTACAAGGCTTCAGTCTCGTGATGCTCTGGGTTGATATGCTGAACTGTCTCTCAATAACATCTCCATTTTGTTCAGATACGGTCACGTTGAATTTCCTACGTTTGGGATTTTTTAGTCCGATCTGGAGACCAAACTGTACAGGCTGAACTTCGAATTCACCTGCAGCACAGAATATCAAACACACTGGCATGAGGCTGGAAACATATTTGGACTTTTTAGCTTCTTATGAGCGATCATACATGAACATTCACACACAGCAGCTTGGTCCTGCAGCCTAAAGAGAACACAGCTTTATTTGAATACCGTATTTTCATGGTTCTAATTTTATGCGTGAGAGACTTGTTTAAGAACACAAATCTGGTCACATGTTGGAGTTTCAGCCTTTTCTTTCTGGTCAAAATGTGCTAAAACAAGGCTCAGATTAAGTCTAAATTATGTAACAAAGCTTCAGACAGAGCAGCACCTACAGTTAGCTTCACATCCCCAGCAAATTTTTTTGACATCAGCTGCAAAGTATCAATTATAACTGTATTTTTTACTGTCATAAAATCATCAAAAAGAGAACTAGCTCCTTTCGGACTTCCAGTTATCGCGCAATTCATACTGGGAAGGATTTTCCGAAAAAGTGAGCATCAAACCCCCATGTTTGTTTTCCCAGTGGGATGTGTCTATTGTCAAAGCCAGACTTTTCAAGTCTTTTGAACCATATCACTTTTGTTTCTGGTTCTGATATTGTCATATTTTAGTTTTGGGATTCGGACATCGTTAATTGTGTGGTTGTTGGATCCTAACAGTGGAAAACGGCTCGAGAAATGGGCTTTGGAAGTTTGCGAACTTCATAAATGCAAAAGGGAATGAGATCTGTGTGACTGCAAACCTCCGTTGAACCTGTTTCCCTTTGCAACGGAATTGAAAAATAGTGAAAGGTGAAGGCGATGGGCAGGATTGATCCACAGGAAGAACCAAATCTTTGACTGCCTAAGAAATCATGCCGAGTTTACAGTGAACATTTTGAATGTGGAGCGACAACAAAGCAAAATCCCGATCCCTCCCTTTAAAAAGTCAATGTTAAAGCGAAAGGCACCAGCTGTTCACCAAGAAACACCTTCCACTGCAAAGAGACCAAAACGTCTCACTTTTTCAGAAAATTCTTCCCAGTATGCATTGTGCAATGATCGTAAGTCCGAAATTCGGGATACGTGTATTCACCGCAATGAGTTTTTAAGAGCTTTTCACAATTCTTAATGTTGATGTCAGCTACTAGCATGCTAACAGTACCCTTCCTGATTCTCTGACAATAAAATACTTAGCTGCTTAGACAATATATCTGTAACAGGGGCAAGAGACATTAAATAACTGAGGAGGAGAAACACAAGAAGCAAAAAACAAGAAGATTTCGAAGTACCACAGTTTGAGAAATAATAACAAAGTACTTTTATACATTACGAATACAGGAAGTACTTACACGGTAGATCTTTATCGGGGTCTTCTGCTGTTGTCCTTGTTGGTGCTGTTATGAAAAAGAAAAGGACAAAATATGTTCATGTTTGATTCAACAAAAACGTGATCGAGTTTCAATTAAAAGTTAAGTTAAAAGGTGCGTTGTGTAACTTTTCTGGTGGAGGCTCCGTCAAATGCTCCGTGGAGATGTTATTGCTTTGTCTGGAATGTTTCATAGTATGGCATTAAAACTTTCTATCTTCATGGAGACCAGACCAAGACCAAGTTACAGGTCAGATCTGTGGAGAGGCAACCCCGCTCACAGTCAGAATGTCCGTTTTTCGAGGTATTTTTGAGCTTTAAAACCACTTGTAATTGAATAAATGTCAAGTAGAGATGTTTAATGTCACACTGTGGAACATTCCAGGCAGAGCAATGGCGTACCCAAAGAGCATTACGGTTCATTATTCCTTCACTCCACACTCGGTGGTGGCAGACTGACAGTCATAATAATTCAAACAGTTGGGCGATTACAGCCCGTCCACATCCCTCTCTTCATTATCCGAGTCAGTGTGGTTACTGTTCCCTGGAGTTCAGTTCAGTGATGATTCTGGTCTTGGTGAAAGCTCGGACCACAGTTGACACTGATCCTTAGCCCGGGCGTCCACGATCCGTTGGCAGATCGTGGCGTAGGTGGCTCGGCGCTGTCTCTCTGTCTTGGTGAATGTGTGTTCTCCTTCTCTCATCCACTGCTCCCACGCAGCTAAACGCACTTTCACTTTATAACAGCCTTGAGTTTAAAGTGGGCGTTGTGAGCGCGTCTCTTGACAGGTGCATTTTGATATTAAAAGGAATCACAGTATGTATTACTCCTGATGCTCCTGACTACGGGAGCCGTAATGCTGCAAGTGGAGCGACTTTGTAGTTTACTAAAGTCGTACTAATACACCCCAATAAATTCATATATAAGACGCTCTGGATTATAAGGCTTTTAAGTGCACCCTATAGTGTGGAAAATATGGTAATTGTTTATGGAACAAACCGTTCTGCACAAGAGCTTGGTAACACTTTATTTTGTAATTGTGTTTTATATGTGTTTATTGTTCATAATGTGGATGAATTAAATGTGAAATGTGGGACCAGCCGCTCAAATCTGCAAAACAAATTTACCTACAGGTATGAATAAAGCGACCAAACCTAACCACCATCACTCACAAACACACCACTTTCATACTAGGCAATGTGGGTGAAGTGTCTTGCCTAAAACCAAATGAGACTTGTTACTTCACTTCTGCTTCGGGAGCTCAAATCGACGGTGTTTAAACAGGACACCGGCCCTGCTGAGCTTCTGAGATCTGACGGGATCAGGCTTTGACAAAGTGATATGGCCACAAAATACCAACAGTTGAGCACTTTTTCCACTTTTTACAATGAATACTACAAAATAGACATAGATATGAGGCTGGTGCCCTGTTGTGAGCGTGAAGAAAGAACAGAGGCACAGGCAGGATGTGGGTTTAGCAGATCAGAGATGCACCCAGAACATCACAGCAAAGTCACAGGGACCAGGGGAAGACCCACCATCACGTCTCCTATTGTCTATTCAAAAAGCAGCTAAATACAGATATAAATATATGTAGACCCAGTGTGATGTTTCTATTTCCACGGGTGTCAGAATGATGAGAAATAAGAGCTGTTGCTATAGCGATTAACAATTTACAAAAACAAAATATTCTGTCTTTTAAACGAGTCTCATAATCCTCGTGCTTTGTTAGATAGAAAAGGGACATTTTTCTGTACAAAATTGTAAAATTAAAAGCTCACTATGAAACTTTTCCCGTGGAGACTTCACCAACTATTGTCTCTGTGGAGATGCTGTTATTGCTTTGCCTGGAAGGTTCCATAACACGGCATTAAATGAATCCATTGTGTTTATTAAATTGTAGAGACATTTATAGTTTGAATGTACCTACACACCTTTCGCCGTGTGTGTATTTGCACGTAGAAAGTGTATGCTTGTGTGTGTGTGTGTGTGTGGTGTGTACATAAAAGGTGTGTGTGCACGTACAAGGTGTGTGTGTGTGTGTGTACAAGGTGTGTGTGTGCGTATGTGTGCACGTACAATGTGTGTGTGTGTGTGTATGTGTGTATGTGTGCACGTACAGGGTGTATGTGTGTGTGCACGTACAGGCTGTATGTGTGTGTGTTGTGTGTGTGTGTGTGTGTGTGGTGTGTCTGTGGGTCTGCGTGCACATACAAGGTGTGTGTGTGTGTGTGTGTGTGCGTGTGTCGGTGTGTGTGCGTTGTGTGTGTATATGCATGTGTGTGTATGTGTGCATCTGTGTTGTGTCTGTGTGTGTGCGTGTGGTGTGTGTGGATACAAGGTGTGTGTGTCTATGTGTGTGTGTATGTGTATGTTGTGTGTGCGTCTATGTTATGTCAGTGTGTATGTTGTGTTGTGTTATGTGAGTGTGTTGTGTGTTTCTGTGTGTGTCTGTGTGTATGTGTGTATGTATGTTGTGTTGTGTTATGTAAGTGTGTTGTGTGTTTGTGGTACAGAGACAGGAAATCTTAAGCTCTGACTTTTCTTCTCTGAGGTTTGACTTTAAGAAAAAAAAAGTGTCAGAGGTGCAAACGACTTTGTCTTTGGCTTCACTTTCACTTTCTCATTTTGTGTTTTTTTTTTTTTCTTTCTTTACTTTTTTCTACATTTTAAACAAACACAGAAAACAAAAAATATGACGAAAGATACATGGAATTATGAAGAAAATACAGATATTATATTTTTATTTCAAATTTGAATTGAAACATTTTTCAAATTTAAAAAACAAACTTATTTTTTTTTCTATTTTATTTCTTTTAAGATTGAAGTTACGTGGAATAAATGCTGAAAAAACACCTACACATCCACAAACGTCAACGCACAACAGAAAATTGTTGAATAAATAAGAAATATTTTTTAACTTCAAACTCTGAAGGATCCCTTTTTTCCACACGACAAAGAACATTCTGATAATTCTACTTAAGGTACTGTTTTCCAAAACTTACAGCGTAAAAAAGTGAATTACTAAAATAAATAAATAAACAAAAGTTGAATGTGTGTCAAAAAGAGGCCACGTTTAATCCGTGTGTCATTCGTTCATTCGTTTTTCAAAATAAAACCAAAAATAAGAAAAAGAAAAAAACAACTATTTTCTTCATTATTTGTCTCTAAAACCAAAATGGAAAAAAAAAAACAGATAATGATTTGTTTTTTCAGTTTTTGATTTTGTGTTTAAATGAAAAATGGAAAAAAAATGGATAACGGACCGAACTAGGTCTAAACCAGGTCCGGGACCAGACCAGGACCAGACCAGGACTGAAACCAGGACAAGACCGGGACTGAGACCGGGACCAGACCGGGGCCAGACCGAGACTGGGACTGAGACCGGGACTGAGACGGGGACCAGATCAGGACTGAGACCGGGACCAGACCAAGACCAGGACTGAGACCGGGACCAGATCAGGACTGAGACTGGGACCAGACCGAGACCGAGACTGAGACCGGGACTAAGACTGGGACCATTATGTGACTGAGAACAGGACTGAGACTGGGACTGAGACCGGGACTGAGACCGGGACCAGACCGACTGGGACTGAAAACAGTTTAGTCCTGCTTTAGTCCTGTTTTAGACCTGGTTCAGTCCTTTGTCCTTTTTTTTTTTTTTTACCATTTTTCATTTAAACACAAAATCGAAAACTGAAAAAAAACAAATCATTGTCTGTTTTTTCATTTTGGTTTTGGAGACAAATAATGAAGAAAATAGTTTTTTTTTTCTTTTCTTATTTTTGGTTTTATTTTGAAAAACGAATGAACGAATGACACACGGATTTTCATTTTCATATATTTTTGCAACAATTACATAGACAGAGCTCTTTTGAATGAATGAAAACAAGTGAAGAGAAAAATATAAAGATTTGCTGTGACTAAGTTAAAATTTTGAAACGAAGCCTCACGTTAGTTCAGTCTGGGTTAAATGTGGTACTTACAGGTGCTCAGAGCGATGACCCCGGCCCAGAGGAGGAGGGAGAGGGCACCCATCTGTGCCACGTCCAGAGGTGAGGAAGAAACCGCACCGTACAACGACGAAAACGGAAGAAAAAAAAAAACTACAAAAGAAATAAAAAGACTCAAAAACGAATCGGGTTTGATCAGGAGTTACACACAGAAAATGCGCCGTTTTCTTCTCACCTGCTGCTTCCTGGACTTGAACCTCAAACCTGCTTCAGCTTCAGTCGGGGCTGTGGGGGGGCGATGATGACTCACACACACACACACAATAAAACACACACACACACACAAACAAACAAACAGGAAGTGTCCTCTGCTATTTTGGGCTTCACATGAGAAAGTTATTATAATATTATAAAAGTTATTTTAAGTATTTGAAAGTTAAGTGGGGGGTTGGAGTCGGGGTTATTTGCCAGAGTCAGTGTTAATTCAACTTCCTCTAGTGTAAATTCAACTTCCGCTGGTGTTAATTTGGCTCCTCCCACCGACCGCTTCAAACGAACCGCCAGAAAAGAGCAGTTTAAAAAAGAGAAAGAGAGAAAGAAGAGAGAGAAGAAAGAGAACAGAGAGAAGAGAAAGAGAGAGAAGAGAGAACAGAAAGAACAGAGAGAAGAGAGAGAGGAGATAGAGAGAGAACATAGAAGAGAAAGAGGAGAGAGAGGAGAAACAGAGAGAGAGAGAACCAAGAGAAGAGAAAGAGGAGAAAGAGAGAGGGGAGAAAGAAATCAGAGAGAAGAGAAAGAGAGGGAACAGAGAGAAGAGAGGAGAGAAGACAAAGAGGAGAGACACAGGAGAAAGAGAGAGAGAACAGAGAAGAGAGAGGAGAGAACAGAAAGAATAGAGAGAGAGGAGAAAGAGAGAGAGGAGACAGAACAGGGAGAACAGACAGAAGAGAGAGAGGAGAGAGAGAACAGAAAAACAGAGAGAAGAGAGAGAGGAGATAGAGAGAGAACATAGAAGAGAAACAGAGAGAGAGAACCAAGAAAAGAGAAAGAGGAGAAAGAGAGAGAGAGGAGAAAGAAATCAGAGAGAAGAGAAAGAGAGGGAACAGAGAGAAGAGAGGAGAGAAGACAAAGAGGAGAGACACAGGAGAAAGAGAGAGAGAAGAGAGAGGAGAGAGGAGAGAACAGAAAGAGAGAGAACAGAAAGAATAGAGAGAGAGGAGAAAGAGAGAGAGGAGAGAGAGACAGCAGAGAGAACAGAAAGAACAGACAGAAGAGAGAGAGGAGAGAGAAGAAAGAGAGAAGAGAGAGAAGAGAGAGAGGAGATAGAGAGAGAACATAGATGAGAAAGAAGAGAGAGAGGAGAAACAGAGAGAGAACCAGGAGAAGAGAAAGAGGAGAAAGAGAGAGAGGAGAAAGAGATCAGAGAGAAGAGAAAGAGAGAGAACAGAGAGAAGAGAGGAGAGAAGACAAAGAAGAGAGACACAGGAGAAAGAGAGAGAGAAGAGAGAGGAGAGAACAGAAAGAACAGACAGAAGAGAGAGAGGAGAGAAGAGAAAGAGAGAGAACAGAGAGAATAGAGAGAGGGGAGAAAGAGAGGGAGGAGAGAGAGAGAGGAGAGAGAAGAGACACTCACAAAGGAAGTGTCCTCTGCTCTTTTGGGCTTCACATGAGAAAGTTTGTGATTAAGTTATAAAAAGTTTAGTTCACAAGAGTCAGTTTAAAGGTGCACAGCAAAAACTGGAGGGTTAAAATAAAAATAAAATATGTTTAACTGTTTAACTATTTGAAAATGAAATGGGGGTTAAACTTCCTCTAGTGTTAATTCAACTTCCGCTGGTGTTAATTTGGCTCCTCCCACCGACCGCTTCAAACTCCCGCCAGAAAAGAGCAGTTTGAGAAAGAGGAGAAAGAGAGACAAAGAAGAAAAAGAAGAGAGAGGAAAAAGAGACAGAACAGAGAGAAAAAGGGAGAGGAGAGAGAGAGACAGAACAGAAAGAAAAGAGAAAGGAGAGAGGACAAAGAGGAGTGAGAGAGGAGAGAGAAAGAGAGAGAACAGAGAGAAGAGAAAGAGGAGAGAGAACAGAGAGAAAGGGAGAGGGGAAAACGAGAGAGAACAGAAAGGAGAGAGAGGAAGAGAGAGAAGAGAGGGGAGAAAGAAACAGAACAGAGAGAAAGAGAGAGAGCAGAGAAGAGAGAAAGAAGAGAGAGAAGAGACTTAATAGAGAACAGAGAAAGAAGAGAAAGAAAAGAAAGAAGAGAAAGAAGAGAGCGAGAGATCAATAACAAGTTTCCACAGCTGAGTAAAAACATGAAGTCTCAATCAAAACTGTACTAAACCCACATGAAGGATTCTCTGTGTTCACCTCCAGCCTCTGCCTCACTGCTCACTTTATTTCAATGAGCAGCTCTTAATGAAACAAGTTTGTTTAAGACGCTGCACTTTAACGCACCATATTTACACCGTCCTGTTTGATCCAGGCCTGTGTGAGAATAAGAAGCAGAACAGAATATTAATTAATAAATCATTGCATTTATATAGTGTCTTTCAAGATCCCCAAAGAGCTTTACAGTTCATTATTCATTCCCTCAACACTCAGTGGGGGTAAACTACTACTGTAGCCACAGCGGCCCTGGGGCAGACTGACGGAAGCGAGGCTGCCAATCTGTGCCACCAGCCCCTCCGACCACCACCATCATTCACGCACACACCACTTTTATACTGGGCAATGTGGGTGAAGTGTCTTGCCTAAGGACACAACAACAGTTTTTGCCACTGGTGCCTCCTGTGGCTCCTGATTTTCCAAGTGGTTTCCCATCCAAGCCTTAACCAGACTCGGCCCTGCTGAGATCTGACGAGATCAGGCTTTGACAAGCCAGTATATCCACAAATAATATTAATAAAAATAAAACAAAAACATGTATAACACATTTTCGACTTTTACTTTCACATAGTAAACAAAGACACAGCACAAACATGAACACTTTTAAAATATAAAGAGCTCAGAAACAGTAGTGCCGTGTGCAGACAGCTGTAACAGTAGTGCCGTGTGCAGAGTTGTAACAGTAGTGCGGTGTGCAGACAGTTGTAACAGTAGTGCCGTGTGCAGACAGCTCTAACAGTAGTGCCGTGTGCAGACAGCTGTAACAGTAGTGCCGTGTGCAGACAGCTGTAACAGTAGTGCCGTGTGCAGAAGTGTAGCAGTAACAGTAGTGCCGTGTGCAGACAGCTGTAACAGTAGTGCCGTGTGCAGAGGTGTAGTTGTAACAGTAGTGCCGTGTGCAGAGCCTCAGCGTTTCCTGGTCTTTTTGGAGCTGGTCTGAGGTTTGGACTCGGGTGGTGTTTTCTTCACAGGAGCAGCTTTAACTGCAGGAGCCAGAGACGAGGAGGACACCGGCTGTTTAAGATCTGTGACAAAAAACAAACAATTTCATTTCGTTTTGATTAATCAATTAGTTGTTTCGAACCAAAATGCTTGTTAAAAAAAAAAAACAAAACAAAAAAAAACACTAGTGTACAATTTTGCCAAAACTCCAGTCTCACCTTCAGTCTCTGGAGACTCCAGGCTGCTCCTGCCCTGCACCTGTCGCTCCAGGTCCTGGATCTTCTGCAGTGCCGTCTGCAGAGCCTCCTCGGCCTTTAGCGCCCTCTGCTGTGAGCTCTGGACCTGCTCCTCTGAAGCACTGACACGACAAATACAGTGTCAGAGTGTGTGTAAAGTGAGAGAAGAAAAGTGACTGCATTATAATGTATCATACGATTTAAACACTGAAATAAAAACACTTACAGCAGTTCTTGTTGTAAAAGTTCCACTGTGTTCAGATCAGTAAAAGCTTTTTGTGCTTCTTCAGTGACTGGAGCCACCACCTGCTCCTCGCTCTGAAACAAAAACACATTCAAATGTATTTAAAATAATCAATTACTGTGTCAAACTAAACTGCTCAGCAAAATCCGCACCACAGTGAGCCGAACTTTGCTCTCTCCCAGTTTGTTCTGAACGATGCTGCGGTCACTGGAGATCAGCTCCACCACAGGACTGTTCTGAACGGATAGCTCCCTCTGCTGGACAATAAAAGGCATTGCTGTTAACTTTGCCCATTTTCTGTATTATTTTGGATTGAAAAAGCTCATGTATTTCAGAGTTTGGGGAAACTTCTGTTAATATAACCATGCACAGTCTATGGAAAAGTTACCTCAGGTTCTTGTTCAGTCGTTTCTTCTTTAGTCTGAAAAACACAAATAAACAATACAAATCAGCTTTGAACAATGTACTCTACTGGTCAAAAGTTTTAGAACACTACACTTTTTCCATTTTTTTCCAGTTTACTGTTGACCAAAATGTATTCTAAACTTTTGATTGATGAAAGTGTCCACCTTTGGCAGATAGAACAGCTGAACACACTCGTGGCTCGTTCTTTTTACAATAGAAATCAAATATTGTTCAGAAAGTTCTTCCCAAGTCTGTTGCAGAAGTTTCCATAAATGTGTGGCACTTGTCGGTTGCTTCACTCTTCTGTCCAGTTCATCCCAAACCAGCTCCATGGGGTTTAAGTCTGGACACTGTGCTGCTGGACACTCCAGGTTTTCAGGCTTTACCATCTTGTTCTTTTTTCCTGAGGTAGTTTTAGCAGAGCTTGAACTTGTCTTTTGTTCTTTTATCTTATTTTTTTTTAGCCTCTGTCTGTTCAGTTTTACCTTTGTTCCATTTCAAGCTCTTCATTGGACTTGCACGACTTGAACTGCAATAAATAACTGGAAAAATTACGGTGTTCTAAAACTTTTGACCGGTAGTGTAATTATAGAAACTACTTCAAGACACTGTTATAAAAACACAATAACAAGGATAACTCACATTTAAAGGGCCCATCTCATGCAAAATCAAGTTTTCTGAGCTTTCTACCTTCTAAGAGTGATGTCTGGGCCTTGTATATGTCGCTGAAGTGGTGTTTAGATTGATTCTGTGTTTTTTTTTAAACAAATTGCCATATTTCTGCCACTCTCCCACATGACAACGAACTAAAGCTGCTACAACGATGACGCGGCAGATACACCTATGACGCGTTTGATGTAGCAGAAAACGCTTCACACCCACTCCACTCCCCCCGCTCCACCACCTCCACCTCCACCCCACATCGTCTGACAATTCCCACATAAACAAAAGTGACAGCATAAGCTCATTGTTCTACACTGCAGTGAACACGATATAATAAGTTTATCTCCTAGTATTTATTAAAACTTTACCAATCAGTAATGTTCAGCTGATGTGGACGCGGTGCTTGAGCTTCGTGCTCCTCAAAGTTCTCGTCCGATTCCGGGTCCAACACATGCGTCTGAACGCGCTGTATCTCCATGATGAATAAAAGTTTATTCCTGCCGCTATCAGGGCGCACGCTAGAGGTGCGCGGATGGGTGACTTTTTCATCCGCAACCGCATCGCAAAACTCATCATCCGCCCGCTATCCATTTGCAACCACAGTTTTTGACCAGTTTTCAAAACCGCACCCGTCCGCCATCCGCTCTGTCTCCTCCCAGTTGCTCCGAGTTCAGAGCTTTTTATTTGAGTAGTGAAACCGCCACCCGCCTGAATTTAATTAAAATATTATTTTTCGTCACGTCATCCGCCTGACCCGCGGTTTAGCCACAGAGTCCGCAGCTGTAACCGCTATCCACGCATCTCTAGCGTACACCTGTCTCCCCCTCCCTCCCTGAGATGGGCGGAGGAAGGGCGGCTCACTCAGAGCCTACGTCACATTTGGAGGGCGGAGCCTGTGCTTTCTCAGGACAGGTGGGGGGAGGAGCAATAGTCGGACTTTCATAGTTCCTGGTCTGTGACGCCTCCAAGAAATCTGTAAGATTTCAGAACTATTGTGTAATGGATGTTCCAAAACCCAAATTGTGCTTGTTTATGTGCAGAAGATACAATGTGAAAAGAGTTATTTTGTATCAGATGGGCCCTTTAACATCGATGTCTAAATATTTTTGCACATAGGCTTGCAAATCAATGATACAAAGGTCTAAATGGAAGACAGTACCAGTGTTTCAACAACCTCTGCTCGTTCCTCTACTTTTTCATGTTTTTCTTGTGCTTCCTGGTTTCCCTGAAAAACATGTATTAAGTATTTAAAAATGCCATCTTAAAACACAGTTCACAGTCAATTTAAAACAGTTTGCAGTGGCCCAAAGTTATTTCTCACTTTCTTAACACATTCTGAGCATTTTAATTATTCAGTTGAAGAGTTTTTGAGCACTTTTCACAACTTCCAGAGAGGAGTTTTTTTTTCACAAGACAGATTTTACTTTACTACACGACAAACACCAGGTACAGTCTTCTTAATAAAATACAATTACATAACAGGTGAGAATCAGTTACCAGTGCGTCCACGTCGTCCTTCTCAGCTCCATCGCTCAAAGTTGTAGTGAGAGTCTCTAAAGGAGCCATTTTTAAACCAACCAGGAGGATTTTCGAGGTGTCCATCCAGTCTGTGCTTTCATTCTATAAACAGAAAACAGGACATTAAATACATTTATACATACCAAATATAAATGTCTTGTGTTACTCAGGGATGTGGTAATATTTTGTTGTGTTACCTCAAGTTTTTTACACTCCATCACCTCCTTCTCAGCCTCTTCTTGCTGACTTGGGTTGCTCAGAATCTGCTCTTCGTGAATCAGCTGACAAGTTCTACCAAAGGAAAAAAGCAACAATAGAATAATTCTATAACATTACTTGAATCTGAAGTATATTCATGAAAGAACAAGTGTGTATGTGCATTGCCTGGTGAAGTATTTGCTGAGCCGCTCCACTCTCTGGGACAGTCGGGCTGCGTCGTCCTCCAGCTGTGAGACTGAGGACTGAGGCCTGTGGTCCCTGTGTGGGTTCCTGTGTGGGTCCCTGTGTGGGTCCCTGTGTGGGTGTGTGGGTCCCTGTGTGGGTCCCTGTGTGGGTCCCTGTGGTGGTTCTGTGTGTTCGGCTCCTTGTCTGGGACCAGGAGGAGGAGCAGGTCCAACATCCAGCGGCTCCGGCCCTCGTGGACACTGGAGATCTGAGAGGGACACATGTATACGGTGTAGACGTTACAACAGTCTGGAAACCTGATTTTCAAACTTGTTCCAGTCTCTCCCAAATCTTTAGTATTTACATGCAGGAGAGTCAACAGGAGGGGGAAAAGTGGTCTGTTATCCCAGGCCCCAAGGTTTTAGGGGCCCAGAATTGGAGCCTCTTCCTATTAATACGTGCATCCCGAATTTCGGACTTCTGGTCATCGCGCAATACACACTGGGAAGGATCCTCTGAAAAAGTGAACATCAAACCACCATGTTTCATTTCCCAGTGGGATGCGTCTATTGTAAAGTCGATCTTTTCAAGTCCTTTGAACCATGTCGCTTTTGTTTCTGGTTCTGATATTGTCATATTTTAGTTTTGGGATTCAGACATCATAATTGTGTGGTTGTTGGATCCTAACAGTGGAAAATGGGCTTCGGAAGTTTGCGAACTCCATAAATGCAAAAGGGAATCAGATGTGTTTGACTGCAAACCTCTGTTCAAACTGTTTCTCTTCCCAACGGAATTGAAAAATAGTGAAAGGTGAAGGCGATGGGCAGGACTGATCCACAGGAAGAACCAAAAAGGAAACATTTGACTGCCTAAGAAATCATCCCGAGTTTGCAGCGAACATTTTGAATGTGGAGCAACAACAAAGCAAAATCCTGTTTGTTAATGTAGAGGGGCAGAAGACAAACAGACTGAGCTGCACTTTCTTGTTCTTGTGGTTTTACAGCAACATCACGTCTTGGTCTCTTTGCAGTGGAAAGTGTTTCTTGGTGAACAGTTGGTGTCTTTTGCTTTGGCGTTGACTTTTTAAATTTGTAACAAAGGTTGAATGAGGGATCAGGATTTTGCCTTGATGGCGCTCCACATACAAAATATTCACTGCAAACTCGGGATGATGATGTATTTTCAGACCCGTGCGCAGCTTTAGAACGGCTTTTTCTAACAGAGAAGTGAAGGAGAGTGGACTTCACAGCTCCCAGTACAAACAATAAGAATATAGTCCCTCGAAGAAAATGATAATGAGTGAATTGTATATTATATTATGCACACCTTTGACTCTGAAATAAAAACAGTTTGAGGCTCACCTCTTGGCTCACAGTTTGGTTCTCCTGGTCGATGAAGCTGCTGAGAAATTCTACAAACGCTTTGACTTTTTCAGCGACGTCTTTTGTCTCTGTGCTGCACAAAAAAATGAATAAATAAATGGGAAACAGTCACCTTTTTATACGGCATGAACAATGTGCAAAAAAAGAAGAATGGAGATATTTACAAATACAAAATTTCGCAAGAGAAATTATGTATAATACTGTAATAGAATTTTAATATGACACACAAACGACATCAGAAAAATTACACAATGCAGCTTTAAGTCATAATTTCAAATGTAGGGTCATTGACGAGCCACTGATTTTTTAAGTTTTGGTTTCATGTAGCTGGACCCAGAATCTTTATAGAGATATTAAAAATAAACCAGGTGAAACTATCTGTATTTTATCTACAAAAATGAATTCTACAGTAGAATTCAAATGTTATTTAAGCTTAAAATGTTTGGGTATGACGTGAACCAATCAGGTTTGAAAAATATAATTAAATATTACACCTTCAAAGTACTCAAAATGGTGCCAGTAAACATGAAGCTGAATGAATTAAACTGTTGAAATAAAAGCATACTCACTACAGTGCAGGTTCGTTGGTCTGGGTCTCTGTTTTCACTCCTAAAATGAGATGTAAGATTTTGTCCATCAGACTTTTCCAAAGAGAGAGCGACTCCTCCAGCTTCTTCAGGTCCAGGGCCAGAGCTTTGTGAGGCTGCTCCTTCAGCTCAGACAGTTTAACGGACCAGGGCTGAATGGAGGCGCACAGGGACTGGAGCTGACTGTGCACTCCTGGAACAAAAACAATACAACTTTAATATAGATAGACTGTACAGAATTTGAACATTTGAAATTATAGATAAGAGTTTAAATATTTATAAAGTTCTGTGATCAGTGTAAAGAAGTGACCACATAATTTTTGGAACTGTCATAATCAGAGGAGGGTTAATATAAGTTTTTCTTCATCCCGCTCCTTTTCAAGAAATGTGCTTTTCTGTTGTTTATAATGTTTATGTGGTATGTGTGTAGTATATATTTATTAGTATTTATGTAGTATATGATTATTGTTTCTCTCTTGGCACAAACTCGAAATAAAAACAAATCAATCAATCAAAAAAAAAAAAAATCCCATTCATTTTTCCCATAGACTTTCTAAGGAAAAAAAAAATTTAAAGTTTGAAAGTTCATGGCTAATCCACTACGTCGTCTCTATCCTGCTGCAAGTCGTGAAATATTCAGCTGAAAACGGTAATCGAGCAGCAGAAAGAAAGTTTAGAGAAACTTGTGAGGGACTGGAGGAAAGCGGGGATGGAGAGCACAGCTTCACGGCAACTGGGTGCGACATGAAACTTTCCTGGACGTCACTGAATGGATGGACAAAGCCTGGACTTCAGTGACACCGAAACCATCCTGTCGGGATTCAGAAAGGCCGGAATAATTCTAACTGGAACTAGAAGAGGAAGAGGAAGCGGTGCTCTGTTTACCTCTGGAGGTGATCAAGTTGTCAGAAGTGACACCGAGGATGAAGAATTGAATGGATTTAGTGATTTGGAGTGAGATGGAGAGTTTGGTAAACTTGTTCTGTTCTATTGATTATGCTCTAGTTATCTGACGTTAACAGTCTGTTGTTCTCTCTTCTATTGTTTTTACTAGAACTTGACTTTCAAGATCAAATGTTGGTTCCTGGTCTCTGATTTTATAAAAAAGTGCGACTTATATATGTTTTTTTTTTCTTCATTACACATTTTTCGGCTGGTGCGACTCCGGAGCAATTTAGAGTCCGAAAATTACGGTATTATTATTTGTACCGTTCTCTCCGGTGATGTGGTCGCTGAGTTTGGTGTTGAGTTCAGATTGGAGGCTCTGGAGCTGGCTCAGGCTGTGGCAGGGCTGAGGCTGAGCTCGGTCCGGAGCCGAGTGTCTCTGGAGCAGCTGCAGGGACAAACCCAACCACTGATCCTGAACCGTGATCAACGCCTCCAGGCTCTCCCTGTGAGCAAACACCCCGTCCCCCTGGAAGACCTCAGCCTGAGAGACCAGGACCTGTCACGAGACGCAGACAAATACTGTGTCAGGAAATGAAAATGAAAATTAAATAGAAAAGGACAAAATGCAGAGGAACAATTTCTCTATGTGGACAATAAAGTGCACCTTACCTTACATAAAAGCTGCATAAAGCAACAATATAAAAACAACCTAACCCATCGTGATTTTTGATTTTTCACAGCATATTTTTATTCTTCTCTTGTTCTTGTATTTCTGAAATTTCACAAAAGGTTCTTGTCTTATTTTTCTAATTTTGAGTCTTACCTCAGACCATGTTTTAAAATCTGCGTTCATTTCTTCCACTGTCGCTCTGGGACATTTTTGACCATGATTCCTACAAAAAATAACACAAAGTTAAAGCTATTTCTGTTATTCAGCAAGTTCTTTTTCCTGTTCATTTCAGTAAAATTTAGTCTTAAAGTTAAAAAGGTGCTCCATGCGAGGTTTCTGGTATCTGGAGATGGAGATGTTAATATTGCTTGCCTAGAATGTTCCACAATATACCAACAAACTTCTCCATGGAAACAATAAAGGTGACACCATTGAAGCAAAAGTGTTTTCAGGCAATAAATAAATGCAGTTTTAGAGAAATTAATATTGTAGTGCAGAATGTTCCAGGTTAATACAAGCAAATACAAAGCGGTTCCCCATCAGAAAAGTTACATAGTGCATCTTTAATGGTGTAAAGTAAAAGTATCTTCTGTCTTACTGCTGGTGTGTGGAGCAGAAGCAGAGCCACTTGCAGATGGCGTCTTGAACGGGGCAGAGGACGTCACACTGACTCTGGTCCCTGCTCCTCAACTGAGACATGAACCTCTGCAGCTCCTGCCTCCACAACCCAGAGCTGTGCGCCAGAGACTTCAGGTCCTCCGAGTCCTGACACACACATACACAAAGAGACTTCAGGTCCTCTGTGTCCTGACACACACATACACAGAGACTTCAGGTCTTCCGAGTCCTGACCTACACACACACACACACACACAAAGAGACTTCAGGTCCTCTGTGTCCTGACACACACATACACAGGGACTTCAGGTCTTCCGAGTCCTGACCTACACACACACACATACACAAAGAGACTTCAGGTCCTCTGTGTCCTGACACACACATACACAAAGAGACTTCAGGTCTTCCGAGTCCTGACACACACATACACAGGGACTTCAGGTCTTCCGAGTCCTGACCTACACACACACACATACACAAAGAGACTTCAGGTCCTCTGTGTCCTGACACACACATACACAAAGAGACTTCAGGTCTTCCGAGTCCTGACACACACATACACAAAGAGACTTCAGGTCTTCCGAGTCCTGACATACACATACACGTACACACACGCACCACGCACACACACAAAGAGACTTCAGGTCCTCCGAGTCCTGACACACACATACACAGACTTCAGGTCCTCTGAAACCTGACATAGACAAAGAGACTTCAGGTCCTCCGAATCCTAAAAGATACACACAAACCTCAGGTCGTCTGAGTCCTAACACACTCACACACACAAAGAGACTTCAGGTCCTTCGAGTCCTGACACACAAGCACAGTCAGTCTACTCACTGATGGGACCAAGTCCTTGTTTTGTCTCAATCAAGTCTCAGTTCTATGGGTCAAGTCCCAAGTCACAAACAGGAAAGTAAAAGTCAAGTTCCGAGTCACAGGCATTCAAAGTCCAAGTCGGGTTCCAAATTTATGTCAATTTTATGAAGTCTAATGACTGTAATGACTCAAGTCTGACTTGAGTCCAAGTCCACATCTCCTGCATGCGTCTCTCTGCATGTTTTGGGTTGATGGAGGTTGGGTTAATGGGAGTAACCAGAGGAAACTCACCAAGACACAGGCAGAACATGTAAACTCACACATAAAAGCCTGGGCGACACAGGAGTCAAACTTGGAACCTTTTTGCTGTGAGGCAAATACCCACAAACACTCAAGCCTCCTCCACCTCATTTATTACTGGTAATAAGTGGACTTCATCTATTCACTTGTAAACTCCTCATTGGGACACCACGTCTGATTCTACTGCAAAATAATCTTCTCCTCCTCACCAGTCTTAGTTTTACCTTTGCGTTTATATAAATGCTGCAGTTCGTCGCTGTTTGGTGCCACGTCTCTTCACTGTTGTGTAACTGACTGACCAACTGCAAGTCCTTCACACTGATCACCTAAAACACAACATAAAAGTGTAAATAAAACTGGCATTTCACAAGGGACCTGGCAGTATCGTGTGGTAAACAAATACTTTTTCTCTTGGCTACACACAGGAAGAGGTTTGTGACTCAGACTAAAGCAGAGGCTGACCCAGAACAGAGTCCAGAGTTGGGTGCACCTTGAGGGCCAGGCTGTAGGTGAAGTGGCTCCACAGGTCTCTCTCCTCGGTCATCTGCAGCAGCTGAGAGCTCAGACGACTGCGCTGGAGTTCATACAGCTCATGGTAACCCTGGACCACTCTGAAACAGGAGAAACACAAAAACATGAAGTAAATACAGAGTCGTATCACTTATGTTTATACTACAGGGTTTAAGCATCAAAGTTTAACTCTCAAAATGATTAAATCCTTGTTTAGTCCTAGTTCAGTCTTGATTAGTCCTGGTCTAGTCCTGGTTTAGTGCCAGTTTAGATATGATGTGTGTAAGTGTGCACAGTGAGTAGTCTGAGTTATTGTGACTGTAGCTGAGATTTAGTTTGGTCTAGTCCTGGTCTAGTCCTGGTCTAGTCCTGGTTGGATTGTGAGGACTTACTCTGGGTTGTAGCGACTTTGGCTGAGGTTTTGTCCTGGTTTAGTCTTGGTTTAGTACTGGTTTAGTCCTGATTTAGTCCTGGTCTAGTCCTGGTCTAGTCCTGATCTAGTCCTGATCTAGTCCTGGTTTAGCCCAGATTTAGACCTGGCTTAGTCTTGGTTTATTTCTGACATGATGTGTGCAAGGTTGGACTGTGATGACTGACTCTAAGTTGTTGTGACTTTGGCTGAGGTTTTGTCCTGGTTTAGATGTAATTTAGAGCTGGTCTAGTCCTGGTCTAGTCCTGGTCTGGTCCTGGTCTAGTCCTGGTCTAGTCCTGGTCTAGTCCTGGTCTGGTCCTGGTCTGGTCCTGGTCTAGTCTTGGTTTAGTTTTGATATGATGTGTGTAAGGTTGGACTGTGAGGACTGACTCTGAGTTGTTTTGACTTTGGCTGAGGTTTTGTCCTGGTTTAGATGTAATTTAGAGCTGGTCTAGTCCTGGTCTGGTCCTGGTCTAGTCCTGGTCTGTCCTGGTCTGATCCTGGTCTGATCCTGGTCTAGTCCTAGTCTAGTCCTGGTTTAGTTTTGATATGACGTGTGTAAGTTTGGACTGTGAGGACTGACTCTGAGTTGTTGTGACTTTGGCTGAGGTTTAGACCTGATTCAATCCTGGTTTAGACCTGGTTTAGACCTGGTTTAGTCCTGGTCCAGTCTTGCTTTAGTCCTGATATGATGTGAGGACTGACTCTGAGTTGTTGTGACTCTGGCTGAGCGCTTCGGACAGCTCGTGTTGGGCTCGCTCGGCCTGCTGGGAAACGAAGGCATCGTGGGCCTTGATTTTGGCCAGTTCTCTGCAAAGAAATACACAAAAACTGTATTAACAAGGTGAGGAATAAAGTCTTCTCACTATTTTCACTATTTCCTGAGTTTGTATTTTGTGTCTCTGTGTCCGTTAGAGGAACACAAACAACATCCAACGTGTGTCATTAGTCGGCCTGTGAAAATAGTGTGACTTTCGGATTCGCTCTGTCGGAAGCGGACTGGGCTTGGATAGAAAAATTTGGCCCGATCGATACTCTGCTCCACAGACCTGACTCTCACGCTCCTGCCCCACCTGCTGAGCTGCTGGATGTTTGTCTTGATGCGGTGGATCTCCACAGTGAGTTGTCGGTCCAAAGCCCTCTGAGCCACAGTCTCAGTGTGAAGAGCCTTGAGGAACCGAGGAACCCGCTCCAGGAGGGACTGGTACTTCTGTCTGAGAAACAAGGCGTCAGACATCAGAGTGAGACATTAAAACAGCAGAAATGAAATGGAAAGTGTAATTTTATTGGTTTTATATATTGTAAAGGTGCACTATATACAGTGACTCTTTTGATAGATAGATGTCAACATAACCAGTATCTTCTTGATTTGCGTGGAGTTTTCTCAACTTTTTGTCAGGAGAGGCAAAAAAGCTACTCTGCCATCTTACAGCGCTTACTGGAAGTCCAGATTTTATTTTAGTTCTATGTTAGAGCTCGGCCCTGGGGCTTAAAGGTTGTATAGAGGATTTTTTTAAGGGAAGTGAAAATACAGTCCTTTTTCAAATGTTGTGCATGCGTGACACCACCTTCCTCCTCCACAGCTCCTCAGTAGAAACATCTCCTCCCGCCTCTTTACTCTAGAAATCACGCTTGTTTACAGTCAGTGCGCGTTCAGAATTACTGTTGAAGTGACCCGTCTAGAAATATTTTAGCGACCGACGCGTCAGTTTTTAGACCCTTCGTCTCTCTGGAAGGAATCTCCAAGAACCACCTCAGTTTGTCTTCGCTCCTTTTCTCCTTCTCTTCTTCTTTCAGCGACCTCGTAAACCGACTTTTTTTTGTGGCGAACTGGTCGTGGATTCTCGTCCGCCGTCGCGACAAACTTTGTGCGAACTGCGAGGAAGCGACAGTTTGAAAAAGCCTCTAAGAACCGCTGCATAAACCACGTAATCCCCACACGCCGACGAGTCAGTTACACTAGAAACGTAGGGAGTTTGATTGACAACAGCCAATAGAAAATGAGGCAGCCTTGTTTCCTATTGGCTGATGATTATCTGGCCTCAACATGTCCACAGTTGATCGATTTTCATTCTTTTTTTTTTTGGTCATCATAATTACAAGGCTGCTGCGTCTCTGTAATGGTATTTTAAACTCTCATTGACAATTTAAAACTGAAAAAAAATCCTCCATACAACCTTTAAGTGAACCGACAGCGTCTCACCTGAGTTTGGCGAGGAGCTGCCCTCTCTCGGCGCAGGCCACACTGACCTGTCGGATCAGCTCATGGAAAACCACGTTGTAGATATTCTGCTCCGTGCGCACCAAGTCCAGCAGGCCCTCAATCTGCAAGAATCCACATTTACCGTTAGAATTCTTTGACTATTCATCGACCGTTACAAACAACACTGTGTAACTCGCTTCCTTCAGCAGTGCGTGTACCTGAGTGACTTCACCGAGTTCTTCACTTGGCTGCTCCACTCCGGCCTTTTCCAACATGTCGTCCATCACACGCATGAGCTGCAGTACCTCCTGTCTGCCACTGGGCTTCCTGCGGACACACAATAAAAACAATAACGATCGACTTTATTTATATAGTGCCTCTCAAGACTCACGAAGCTTTTTACAGTGTTTTAAACTCACAGTGAAGGGAAGACTCGTAGCTTCTGCTCGTCGTCTCGCAGCTGCACGGTGAAGGAGCTTAAAAACAGATAAACAGCAAAAATGTAAACAAAGAAATTAAAAGTTGCCAAAGTTTCATAGTAAATAGTGGAACTCACTCCTCGTACAGCTCCAGGGTCCTCAGTCCTTTGTTTTTCACGATGTGGTACTCCTCTGGGATCAGGCTTTCGGACACGGTCATGTTCTGTTTAAAAGATTAGATTAATTATGATTTTTATTTTATTACAAACATACAGGCTTCCACTCATATTAGACATGACATTGTTCGTAATTATTTAACTGTTCTGTACTTGGCTCTAATGCGAGTCTGTATAGTCACATTTTCTTTGTGTTCTGGTCATTTTTAAACAGCTTTTCTGTATTTTACTTAAACAAATGAACAAATTTATGCTTTTCTTTACTCAGATTCGTCAAAAATAGGGACACCTGGGACATTTTTGGACAAATCTGATGGGACAGTAGACACAGGGTCCAAACCTGGGACTGTCCCGGGGAAACAGGGACGTCTTGATACCCTAATCTCAATATAATATTTGTTAGCTAGTAATGCAACAAAAAATGCATATACTGTATTTCCCACACTATAGGGGCTCTGGATTATAAAGCGCACTGTCATTGAATGGTCTATTTTTGAACTTTTTTCACATATAAACCGCACCGGACTATAAGGCGCATTAAACGGAACACAACAGTTAGATAAGTCAGTCAAATTTTATTTAACGCATTCAGAATAACTCTCAACTTTATTCAGTTGTAAAGTGTAAAAAAATTTTAAAAGTAAAAGTATTCACAATAAGTCTTCATTGTTGAAACAGTTGGGCGATTCCGGCGTCCAGCCCGTCCACATCCCTCTCGTCATTATCCGAGTCAGTGTGGTTACTGTTCCCTGGCAGTTCAGTGATGATTCTGGTCTTGGTGAAAGCTCAGACCACAGTTGATACTGATTCTTAGCCCGGGCGTCCACGATCCGTTGGCAGATCGTGGCGTAAGTGGCTCGGCGCTGTCTCTCTGTCTTGGTGAATGTGTGTTCTCCTTCTCTCATCCACTGCTCCCACGCAGCTAAACGCACTTTCACTTTATAACAGCCTTGAGTTTAAAGTGGGCGTTGTGAGCATGTCTCTTGACAGGTGCATTTTGATATTAAAAGGAATCACAGTATGTATTACCCCTGATGCTCCTGACTACTGGAGCCGTAATGCTGCAAGTGGAGCGGCTTTATAGTTTACTAAAGTCGTACTGTAAGCGTCATTTCATAAGGATTACATATTTCAATATAATTAACAAGTCATAATGATTCATTTGTATTTTTGTTTAAAAAGCAATTTAATATGTTTAAGTGCATGATTTATGTTTGATTCAAAGGAAAGAAAAAACGTATACATGATTTGAACATTGGGGACGCACTAGTGCATATCTGTTGTATTCTCATGTAATTACATGTGAAGAAATGCTGTTCTTGAACTTGTTAACAATAAAGAAAACAGATGGCTGGAGAAACACGGTCGTTTTACCGTGCTGCAACGACATCAAGTTGTAAACGCGTAAGACAGGCTCATTAGTCATCTTTCTTTATGAAGAGGTTAAATTAGTAATAAGGAGAAAACGAGTCAAAGATTAGCCTCTACACGTACTAAGACGCCCCAATAAATTCATATATAAGGCACTCTGGGTTAAAAGGCGCGCAGTCGTTTTTTTATTAAATTAAAGGGTTTTAAGTGCGCCCTATAGTGCAGAAAATACGGTAAGCAAAAAGTTTTACAGTTTGATTTATAATCTGAAGCTTTGACTCTTCAAATAAGCCATAATTATGAATTGTGGTGTCTCTTTGTTCCTAAATTCATGAAGAAAGAAAAAACATAACAGAAGGATGTGTCTAAAAAAAAATTTTATCAAAATGTCTCCAAAATTACAACAAGAATTCACATTAGTACATCTGAAACAACGCTTTTCAGTAATAACAGAGCATGTTCTTGTACCTGTGTGTCTCCGGCCTTTTCTGAAAGTGAAGGCAGAGTGATGGCTTTCCTCTGAGCTGCGTCGCACAGGAACGATATGTCCCTGAACACAGATTCCAGCAGCACATACTCACATATATATACTGTGTACTTTTATACAGGTGTGTATAGTTCACAGCTGTGTCTCTGCCTCGTCTCACCTGCCCGCTCCGCTCACAGACGTGGGCTGCTCCAGAAAGTGCTGGTATTTCTTTCGTCCGAGGGGATGATGCCAAACAGGATCTGGGCGTCGGAAAGTGCTGCCCTAAAGAGAAACCGGGAGAAATATTGTTGATTTCAGGTCAAGTTTCAGGTCAATTCTCCACCCCCTTCCAAGTTGCTCGCCAAAGGATTTCTTTAATTTCTTTAATTAAATGTATTGCGCTCAAAAACTAAAATATGATTAATTACCACTTTAATGTGTCATTTGATGCCTAACTTGTGCACTAATAAATGAATAATGGTTTTGGTTTAATAGGCATCTAACTGTACCTCATCTAAGACTAGAGGAGAGCAAAAATATTGAAATATCGTGTCATTTAATGTGATGATACAATATCGATATCGTGGGCTGCTGTATCGATATATCCCCAAGAGTATTTTGAGGTATAAATCCCGCACACTGTCTTACTTGCAAAATGTGAGATTTATTAGGACATACAGTACAACGTTTTGAATGATAAAGATGGAGGGTGGAATTTTTCTCTGTGTTCTTGGGCTGCTCCCTCTCCACCAACGCACCCATCTCAAGTAACTGTGCAACTTGTGTTAAGTTCTCAGTCTTTTTTTGGTATATTTTACTAAATTATTTTGTTACAGCTAGAGTCTTGGTGCTTGTTCAGATGAAGGAAACTTGTTTACACATTTGACATTTTCACTGTTTTGATGATTAAAATGTTTGTGTTTCATATGAACTTCGCACAAGAAGTGGTTTAACAAACACTTTTAATATCACAGCCATGATTTAGCCTTTATTTTTTTATAGAACCATATCGAATCTATATATATATATATATATATATATATATATATATATATATATATATATATATATACACATATATACATATACATATATACATACATATATATATGTTGTATATATATATATATATATATATCATGTAGAATCATATGCTCACTGTATTGAGATATGTGGCCATCCCGACTTGTCAAACCTGATCCCGTCAGATCTCAGAAGCTAAGCAAGGTTGGGCCTGGTTAGTACTTGGATGGGAGACCACTGGGAATTCCAGGTGTCACAGGGGACGCCAGTGGCAAAAACTGTCGCTGTGTCCTTAGGCAAGACACTTCACCCACATTGCTCAATATGAAAGTGGTGTGTGTGTGAGAGTGATGGTTGTGGTCGGAGGGACCGATGGCGCAGACTGGCAGCCTCTCTTCTGTCAGTCTGCCCCAGGGCAGCTATGGATACAGTATTAGCTTACCACCACTGAGTTGAAGTGAATGAATAATGAAATGTAAAGTGTCTTTGGGTATCTTGAAAGCCGCTGTATAAATGCAATGATTAATTAATTAATAATTAAAGATATGTATCGTATTAGCAACTTCTGAATGATACCCAGCCCTACCTAGGACTTGCCATAGCTATTCTACTTTCTCAGTTTCTCGTTTTATAAAAGGTAGCTCAGCAGAGGAAAAAGGTTGGAGACCTCTGCTCTATAACTAGTCTTTTAAAGTGGGGCAGAGAAAAGATCTTAATCCACAGTTCAAAACTTCACAGAACTTCAGCATGAAAAGTTAACTAATGCAATATGTAAAAAAAATAAGGCCTTAAAATTACATTTGATTATGAACATAAAATATTTTCACTCTGTCATAGTTCATGTTCTGTAGTTGTTGTTTTTGCTTATTTTAATGTAGTTTTTCCCTGTAGTGTTGTGTGCCTTTGGTGTTTTATTTTGACATTAGTCCTGTCTGCTTGTAGTTTGAGTTTTACTTCCTGTGTGTTGATCGATTGCCCTACACCTGTATCTGTCTGCTTATATACCCTGTGTTCTTCTCTGCCCTTTGTTCGTCCATTGTGTTTGTCTTTGTCAGTATCATGTCTGTTGTTTCTATTTTTGGATTTGGTTTCTTCTGTTTTTTTGGATTTGTTACATTAAACAACTGAAGCAGTCCTGCATTTTGGGTCCTCCCGCTGTTTCTACCTGACACTAACATTGCATCTAAATTCATTTGAAACTCCAAAATTTCAGACTGAATCATTTTTTTTCTTTTTCAATCCAGCCTTACAGAGCTTTTTAAAATACTAGGTTGCCTCTTGGATCGAAGCTCTTTTTAAAATGTCCTAATTCTTCTCTGTGTTGCATCTAAACATCCGATGGTTTGACTCAATAAAAAGGTGCACACTGCAGTAGCTTGAATCTGCTTGCACCTCTCCGGTCCTACAGTTACAGCCTGAAAAGTGACACCTTCATTCAAACACATGAGGTGTAGAATGGCTCATAGTTTTTTCAATTTGACCCTCGCCTCCTATAATGACATTCACATGAAAAGTAGTTGTTTTTTTCTGTCTGGGAATAAAGTTGTGTTATACCTCTGACGTTGCAGAATGTGTAAAATGTGTTTTTGGTATTATAAGGTCAATAACAGCGGTTTCCTTGGGTACCTTGCAGTGTCGCTGGTGGGCAGTGGGCATGAGTCCGTTATCTTTGCAGACGGTGGAGGTGAGACTGACCAGTAGCTCCTCTGGGATCACTTCATTATGAACAGACTGAAGCTGCTTTGAGCTCTCCACCAAGGCACAACACTGCACCTCTGCAACAGGAAATGAGAAATACAATGAGAAAATCTGAAGAAAATAATGCTATGTTTTTAAAGTTCAGATCTGTGCAGTAACTTCGTAAGAGCTCCTAGTCTTTGCGGTTTTTACTGACAATTGTCCATGTTGTTGTAAAAAAGGTACATTCTATGGAAGCAGAAAGTTAAAACCATGGAGAGAGATTCACTTGTGCCAATGTGGAAGTACCAAAGGAACGACATCTCTGTGGAAATGGCCCTCCTGGACACATGTTTAGTGCCATTAAAAGTTACATACTCTGGCTTAAAAAAAAGATTGTAAATTATCACAGCCAAATTATTAATTTTGTTAATTTAATACTTATCACTCAAGTAAAAGTAGCGTTGTAGTTCTCAAGACTGGCCTTGGTCTTGAGACTGGCCTCGAGACTGCTTTTTTTTTGTGGTGAGTGATAAAATGGAGACAGATTTATAAAAACATTGATATGTTTGTGCCAAAATAACTGTAAAATACAAATAAATGTCAAAAACTACAACGATGGTCTCGATTTGGTCTCAATGGGCCGTGATCTCGGTCTTGTCTCGGTCTGGGCCTTTAAAAGTTTCGGTTTTAAAGACGCTTGGACTCGGTCTTGTCTCACTCTCAAGGTCTGACACTTGACAAGTGATAAAATTTAGTTAAATTTATAAAAACATTGATATAAATGTGCCAAACTATCTGTAAAACACAAATAAATGTCAAAAACTACAAAGATGGTGTCAATTTGGTCTCGGCTGGCCGTAGTCTTGGTTTTGTCTCAGTCTTGGCCTTTAAAAGTCTCAGTCTTGTCTTGGTCTTAAAGGTGCTTGGACTCGGTCTTGACTCACTCTCGAGATCTGACACTTGACGAGTGATAAAATTGAGTTAAATTTATAAAAACATTTATATATTTGTGCCAAAATAACGGTAAAATACAACTGTCAAAGACTACAACAATGGTCTCGATTTGGTCTTGATGGGCCGTGATCTTGGTCTTGTCTCGGTCTTGAAGGCGCTTGGTCTCAGTCTTGTCTCATTCTCGAGATCTGACACTTGACGAGTGATAAAATTGAGTTAAATTTATAAAAACACTGATATATATGTGCCAAAATAACTGGAAAATACAAATATATGTCAAAAACTACAAAGATGGTCTGGATTTGGTCTCGACAGGCCGTGGTATCGGTCTTGTCTCAGTCTTGTCTCGGTCTTGAAGGTCTGACACTTGACGAGTGATAAAATGGAGACAGATTTATAAAAACATTGATATATTTGTGCCAAAATAACGGTAACATACAAATAAATGTCAAAAACTACAAAGATGGTGTCAATTTGGTCTCGGTCTTGTCTCGGTCTCGTCCTTGTCCAAAATACAAGTTACAAATATTAAATCTGCATTTGTGGATATCAAAACACCTGTACAAACCAGTGACTCATTTGTAAATATTAATGAGACAAAAGTAACCCAATTTTTTAAGCAGCTTTTCTGTATTTTACCTAAACAAGTGACAATTTATGCCTCTCTTTACTGTTGAGAGGTATAAAATTGGTCAAAAATAGAAAAACCTGGGACATTTCTTGTATAAAATTGGACAAATCATTGGTTCTAGATACATCAGCTGAGACAGGGGACACAGGGCTCAAAACTGGGACTGTCCCGGGTAAATCGTCGCGTCACCATGTCTTAAAAGCACAATGTAAGCAGAAGTTCATAAAGTTCAGAGTTAATATAAACCACTCGTTAGCATTAGCATTAGCACGGGTCTTGTTTACGTCGCGACCGTCACCTGCTGCGTCCCGCGGCCGCTCTGCCCGCGCTGAACCCGGGGCTGAATTTGCTCTCACGGCCGTAGACATCCCGGAAGAACCGCGCAGACTTTTACACCGAGTTTGGAGCGAGATGAGGCCGAGGGGAGGAGAGCTCATGTCGCCCCGAAAGTATTTAAACTTCTATAAAAAATAAAATAAAATAAACATGTAAAGTAATTTGCTGTCTCCCCTCTGCTGTGTCTGACCGGACGCGTCGCCATGGAAACGATGTTACGATGTTATCTTATTAAAATAAAAAAATAAATTAAAAAGAAAAAAAAAATAAATAGGATGTAACTTTTTAACCACAAAATAGACCAACACAAAAGTACGTAATTATAACAAAAAAAATAAATAAATAAATAAATAATATAAAAATAAAAAGCCGTATGTTTTTTTTTGTTTTGTTTTGTTTTTTTATTTCAAGTAGAAAACAAAGATATAATGTAAACCTATAGTATATAACATGTATAATAACAGTATGTAGCTTTTTAACCAGAAAATAGACCAGCATAAAAGCACTTCATTATAACTAACTAAAAAAAAAAATAAATAAATAAATTTATTTGTTTAATTCAAGAATTTTTGAATTACAAAGATAGAAAGAATGTAAATATAAAGTATATAACATGCAAAAGAAATATGTAAAGTAATTTGCTGTCTCCTCTTTGCTGTGTCTGAACGGACGCGTCGCCATGGAAACGGTGTTACGGCGATATTAGCTCATTTGCTAAAATAAAAATAAATAAATAAACAGTATGTAATTTTTTAACCACAAAACCAAACCAACATAAAAGCACGACATTATAACAAAAAATTAATTAATTAATTTTATAAAGCCGTATGTTTTTATTAATATTTTTTTTTTATTTCAAGTATTTTTACAAATTACAAAGATAGAATGTAAATCTATAATATATAACATGTATAATAACAGTTAAAGAAATATGTAAAGTAATTTGCTGTCTCCTGTAGCTATGATCTGACCGGACGTGTCGCCATGGAAACGGTGTTACGACGACGTTATCTTATTTGCTAAAATAAAATAATTTTGTTATTATAATGTTTTTATTTCACGTATTTTCAGAATTTCAAAGATAGAATGTAAATCTATAGGTAAATAACATAGAAAGCGAGAAGCAAGGACTACAAGAGATTACAAACAACATGGCATAAAAATAAAAGGTATAAATCGGATAAAACACTTTAAATACCAAAACAAGAAATCATTTGTTTTGGTGCAAGAAATGAAAATATGTGGCAATGTTGGTCCCACTGATAATTTGCTAATTTGTGATCACAGACTGGATAAAATAATAGTAATAATAGTATAAAATTTATATATACAGTCTATGTTTGTGATACAGCAACCAAACCTCCAGCAGATGGCGCCATTGCTCTGATGACGCGCAATTCAATCAATTTCAGTTCAATTCCATCTTTATTAAGAACACATAATATCTGGGTCATAGTAGTATAAAAATAAGAATAAAAAGTGGTGCTAGGTTCATGGGTTTTCCTCTTTACAGCTTCATGGTAAATGGTAAATGGTCACATTTTTCTATAGCGCTTTTCCACCTTCAAGGCACTCAAAGCGCTTTACAACAAGGAACCACTCACCCATTCACACACACATTCATACACCAGTGTACGCAGACACTGTGGGCAAGGTGGGTTAAGTGTCTTGCCCAAGGACACAACAACAGCATTCATCTGTGGGAGGTGGAGTCACACCAGCCAACCTGTGGGTCAGTGGATCTGACCACTCAACCTGTGATTTATTTTTTTTTTTTTTTTTTTTTTATGTCGAGAGCTGGAATCAAACCGCCAACCTTCAGATCAGTGGGTGAATGCTCTACCAACTGAGCTACTGCCCCCTTCATCAATTCAAAGAAAAGAAGTAAAACCTGTCAGCAGAGATATCATAGAGACGAGACCAAAACATACTCAAAAAGAATCAACCTCAGCACTCAGATTCCCACATTTCATAATTTTATTGATGTGAAATAATTTTTTTCTAATTCTACACACATTACAACACATTTTAGATATTATACTGCAATATCTTCTTTAGTGTGCATGATACACTCAATGAAACATATATACAATTTAAATGGGTACAGTCAATATTCACTTGACATGACTCAAATCTGACTCATGTTGAAGTGCATATGACAGGCTGGACTACTCATTTCAGTAAAAGTGTTAACAACTATTATTAAGATTACTTATTTAACTTACTCAAGCAGCAGATATGACGTACGTAGAGGTGATGCCAGAACTTCCATAACACAGACTGTGTTCAGTAGAGTGAGGGCCAGACCTTTACTCGTGCTTTGATCTGCAAAAGGACACATAATATTTGATATTGACATTAAAAAAAATGTAAGTGCCCTGAAAGCCAAGAAAAGTCTGTCTGAGGACTGCAGTTGGCCCCTGAACATGCCTGGTTAAACATACAAACAGTACAAGCTATTTGTAATGGTTGTATTGATCAGAACTGAAGGGGCTGGAGTGTGTGTGCGTTTAGGTGTGTGTGTGTGTGTGTCTGTGTGTGAGTGTGTGTGTGTGTGGTCCACCAGGGGGCGCACTTGTATAAAGTACAGGTACATAGTGCAGGATTATGGACATTGTACTATATTATGAATATATACAAATAATATGTAAAGACTTTGTTCTTGATGTTCTGTCTGCTCAGATAAAGCTTAAATAAATATACAGACTCTTTTAACATTTGTACAGCAGGTTAGTGAGGTTTACATGAAAATAATACAGAAAATGTGTTTTTGTGAAACATGACTGAACAATAAATACTACTGTACGTCCTGAGTCGTTGCCAGGTGTGTGTTGGAACAATCTCCCATGTGAGTTTATTCATTCACACAGTTGTTAAACGTAATAACTGAAGTGTCCAGAGCCAAAGGTCTGAATCAGAAAAAAAGAAACTGAAAACACATGACTGCAAAAGCCCCACAGCTGCAGAGTGACACTTTCAGGTCACTTCTTTTTGTGTGTGTGTGTCATTTGATCATTTGATACAAGGATAAATGACAATGGAAGGGCATCTGACACACAAGAACAAATGGAGGACAGGCGGCCATCTGACACACAGGAAGAAGAGAGGATGAGGAGGAGAACTCTAGGAGAACGGAGTCTGTGGTTGGATCTCGGCAGTGGGGCAGTCAGACTCTCTGGTATTGGACTGTGTTGTGATATTTGTGTCCAGTCCCACAGCTGGGCCGGGCCTGTGAGACTGCTCTAGTACTGGACTGTATTGTGTTATTTGTGTCGGCCAAGTTGGGCCCCTGGGGACAGACAGAGGGGCTCCTCCGGTCGGGTCCTGGCAGCGGGACAGTGGGACTGACAGAGTGATAATTACTGGTGTCAGAGTGTCAGCCTGATGAACCTGCTCTGTCCTGGATCAGCTTACACAAGACAACCAGGGATCACTGTACTCCGCTGGGACAGAGGGAGGACAGAGAGAGAGAGAGAGAGAGAGAGAGAGAGAGAGAGAGAGAGAGAGAGAGGGAAGGAGGGGGGAGGAGAGAGGAGGAAGTGAGCATAGGCACAAATAGGAAGTGATCGTAGGGGCGCTTCCGGCTCCAATTGACTTCACATTTTGTAATTTTGGTCTTTATATAAAGTAAAATAAAGACGTAAAGAGAGACATGGAGACACATGGAGAGATAGAGACATAGAGAGAAACATAGAGTCGTAGAGAGAGACATAGAGGGAGTGATAGAGAGACAGATAGGCATATCTGAAGACAGAGAGAGAGAGAGAGAGACATAGAGCAAAACATAGAGAGAAACAGAGCGAGACACAGAGAGAAAAATAAAGAGAGACAAAGAGAGAAACATAGAGAGAAACCTAGAGAGAGCCATAGAGAGAGACCCAGAGCGAGAAAACCATAGTGAGAGACATAGAGAAAGACATAGAGAGAGAGAAGAGAGAGACATAGAGAGAAACATTGAGAGAGAGAGAGAGAGAGAGAGAGAGACATAAAGAGAAAGATAGAGAGAGATATAGAGAGAAACATAGAGACAGAGAGAAACATAAAGAGACATAGAGAGACACATAGAGAGACATAGAGAGAGAAACATAGAGAGACATAGAGACATAGAGAGAAACATAGAGACAGAGAGAAACATAAAGAGACATAGAGAGAAACAGAGAGAAACATAGAGAGACATAGAGAGACACATAGAGAGACATAGAGATATGGAGAGAGAGAAACATAGAGAACATAGAGACATAGAGAGAAACATAGAGACAGAGAGAAACATAGAGAGACACAGAGAGAGAAACATAGAGAGAAACATAGAGACATAGAGAGACACTGAAAGATATAAACATAGAGAGAGACACAGAGTAAAAAACAGATAGAGAGACATAGAGAGAAAAATAAAGAAAGAAACAGGGAGAGAAAAACAGATAGAGAGACATAGAGAGACGCTGAGAGATATAAACATAGAGAGAGACATAGAGTAAAAAAAATAGAGAGCGAGAGACACAGAGAGAAAAATAAAGAAACAGAGAGAGAAGCATAGAGACATAGAGTGAGACATTACGAGGTATAGATATAGAGAGATAGATAGACATAGAGAGAGACATAGAGAGAAACGTAGAGAGAAAAAGATAGAGGAAAAGAGAGGTATAGACATAGAGTAAGACATTAAGAGGTGTAGATAGAGAGATAGAGACAGAGAGAGAGACACGAACAGGTATAAACATAGAGAGATAGAACCAGAGAGACAGAGACATAGAGACAGAGACATAAAGACATAGAGAGAGAGACACTGGAGCAGATCTGATTTCATTTGGAGCATAACTTTCTATTGGCGTTTTAATAAGTGCTCTCAGATGACAGTTACGTAACCTGAAGTATGATTATGTAAGACCTAATAATACTATCATCATAAAGGGATCAGCGGACAAACCGGTCTGACGGGGGAATCCTCAGTACTACCTCAGTACTACATCAGTACTGCATCAATACTGCACAGGGCCACAGACCTCTCATCACTCATACTAAAAGACAAACACACATTTATCTCTCTGGTTTTACTGACGTGTGTAGATATTCATTTTAGATTCACCTTTTCTACCTTGAACCACTCCCTGAGCAGTGAAAGATTACAGCGTCTCATAAGATTTAGACTTAAGGCCGTCACACAC